TCGTCAAGCTCAGCGTCATCCGCCAGCTCGTCGTCTGCCAGCTCAGCGTCATCTAGCTCAGCATCGTCTGCTAGCTCATTGTCGTCAAGCTCAGCCTCATCAGCCAGCTCAGCCTCATCTAGCTCAGCATCCCACACTTCGGCCGCTAGCACAACCACGTTCACATCCGCGTCAACCTCTCGCACGTCATCTGGAGCAAGTACCACAACATCGGCGGTTCCTATCTGCAACCTGAACGCCAACATCTGTTTGAACTCTCAGCTGATTACCGCCAACAGCGTGGCCGTTGTGGGGTGTCCCCTACTCGGAGGTCTCCTCTGTACCGTCAATCAATTGCTCTCGCTTGTGCCACAGCTGCTCAATACTGGCCCTAGTATTGCAACCGTTCTAATTGGTGACAACGAAGTCATCGGGCTAAGCATCACACCAGCAGAGGTCTCGGCTGCTATCAATGCTGGAGAGCTGAATGGAGTCTGCGATGCCCTCGGAGGTCCTGTCAGTGTCATCATTCGAGATCCGACATGCCCGAATTCTCCCACGACGAGCAGTACTTCCTCCGTCATCACCAGTTCCTCCTCTACGCGGATCATTTCCAGTCTCACGACCGTCGTTGGAACGTCTTCGTCGTCGGCGACCACATCCTCAGGTTCACCCAGCAGAAGCGCATCACAATCGACAAGCACCGGTACCCCTGCGTCGACGACCCTGACCACCGTCACCAGGACGTCTACGTCGACGGGGACAACCACAACGTCGGCGGCGCCCATCTGCAACCTCAACATCAACATCTGCTTGAACGCGGCCTTGATTTCGGCGAACTCGGTGGCAACGTACAATTGTCCACTCCTCGGTGGTCTGCTGTGCACGGTCAATGACCTCCTCTCGGCCGTTCCTCAGCTCCTGGGGCTGAACCCAAACATTGCCTCGGTGCTGATCGGCAACAACGAACTCATCGGTCTGACACTCACTCCCGAAGAGGTGTCGGCCGCCGTCGCTTCGGGAGAGTTGAGCGGAGTGTGTGACGCCCTGGGTGGGCCCGTCAGCGTCATCCTCGACGACCCGACCTGCCCTGCCAACCCGACGGTCACCACGTCGACATCGTCGACCAGAGCTACGAGCACGACGAGCACCGCACCTGCGACTACGACGACGGCGCCGCCTCTCTGCGACGCCCAGGTGGCTTTCTGCGCGCCGTTGGTCGTCGCGTTCACGGTGAGGTCTCAGGTCTGTCCGAACGTTCTCGGCTGCAGCGACGCCCAGATGCAGGCTTTTGCCAACTCCTTCATCGGTCTGCCCGGCGTCAAATCCGTCGCCTACGCCGACAACATCGCCTACGGCTTCAGCTTGACAACGACGCAGTTACAGCAACAGCTCGCCGTGTTGGGTCCCATCAACGACATCTGCACGGCAGCCAGCATCTTCACCCTGGCAATATCAGACACGACCTGTCCGGCGACCGCCCTCCCGACACAGCAATGCGGTGTGGACGTTGCGTTGTGCACTTTGGAGACCCTCGCCTCGGTCGGCGTCACGTCTGGAACATGTTCCAATGGTATTTTGCCATGCACGCCGAGTCAAGTCACCAGCGCGGCCAAGGACAGCTGCGGAAGCCAAGGTGGTGTCTGCCGTGCGTACGGAAACAACCTTCTCACGCCATTGACCGCCACACAATCGGTTGCGCAGATCCAGCAAAGCATCGCTTCGTATGCCCTAGGCAATACTTGTCTGGCAGGAACGACGGTCACACTGAGCGATTCTTCGTGCACATGAGGAATAAAGTGGACAATCACGGACGAGGCTCCAAAGCGAATGTGTTCCCTGGTCCTCCTCACGACGGCGTACTTCTTCTTGGCCCTTTTCCTTTCTTTCTGGCCCACCACATTTACCTTTTCACTTCTATTCGGATACGAGCTTGTCGCTCCTCCACGTCCAAACCCGTCAGCCTCAGAGATTATCCGTCAGAACCCGACTCATTCTGGTTCGTGACGAGTTATTTGCCTGACAAGCCAAACCAGAATCATATCTATACGGATGTTTGGAGCTTAATCGCCCATTTGCTTACATTTTCACTTCTCAACATCAAACCTTTTTTGTATTCTTGGAGAAATTAAGTAAATACTATAGGTCCCCAATTCTTTCATAATTTCATCTTCTTCGTTCCTCGTTTTGTGGCCTGCAAAGTACCGTATGCAGATATAGTGGCGTGCCTTGTCGAGTTTTATCGCTCTTGTCAAGTAGCCTAGGCTACACATCGATCCATCTCGCCATCCACTGGGGGAAAAACACATTGTCAGCACACAACACTCCCACGATCTTCGCCACGATATTCTTGAAAGTGAAAAAGAGAGACGTACCTTGTTGACAACATCCTTTGCCTCATCAACGAGCCCAAGCTCCAGCAAAACCTGTGTTGCAGCACGCACACCACTCTCCAGTGCACTGGCGATCCACGAGCTCGTGTAACTTGTCCCTTCGCCACTCATGACCACGCCTTTCTGCGTCTTGAAGAACTCTGGGATGAACGACTTTCTCATTCCCGCGGTCGGGCTTGCCCAACTGATTGTTTCGTACTGGTCCAGCACCCAGCATCGCCGGTTATAGTTGCCGGTATACTCATCGTACACGACGTCGCCGTGGATTTCGGCCATCTAGGATATGACAGTTCATCAGCTCCTGTTTCCATACTCTCCTCATTGGCTTGTTCGGGGGTTCGATCATGACGCATGGGCACTTCGCTGCCGCGCCAAATACAAACAGTCAAGGAAGGAGAACAAGATCAAACTCACCGCGTCAACAACATACTGCACGTGAACATCTTCCGGCGTGCTCGCCCACCGCAAGCCGCTGTCGCTCGACGTATAACTCGCCAACATGACACCCATTCCGGTACTGTTGATGTCGTAGCTCGGGTAGCAGATGCTTCCGATTCCCGGAATGTCCGTCGTCGTACTACAGCTCCCGTAGATTGGCTGCTCAAAATGCTCCCAGAACCGGGTCTTGAACTGCAAGGCAACCTTGCACACCTGTTCGTAAGGGTACGTGTCGATCGCCGTCTGCAACAGATCGCTGAATTCGGGTAGACGCCACGTGCGCACCAACGCCAACGGCGCCGTGACGACGGCCATATCGTACGACGCGTTCTGCCAGACCTTGTCCAGTGGCTTGTCCTTCCACTGGAGCGTTACACGCTCCATCGACTCGTCGTACTCGACGCGTTGGATTTTGCGGTTCATATACGTCAGACTATCGACCAGTGGGTGGAAAGCAGAGGGCAAACGGCTCAATCCGCCGTCGATGGTCCGCCAATCCGTGGCGGAAAAGTACATGTTTTCATACAGGTTGTCCCAGAAGCTCTCCGCACCCGGTTCATCCAATGCCACGAAGGTGTCGTTGAGGTTGTACTTGAGATAGTTGTGAACGTATCCGAACTCGGACCAATCGTCGCCACCAAGGCCGCCGAGTCCAGAGTCCAGGAAGGTCTTGTGTGCGAGATAGACGTTCTTCGCCATCTGAGCGAGAAAGTCTTCGTTGTTCAAGAGGTCACTGACACGCGTGTTGAGTGCGTCCAGGCTCGGATCGTCCGGGGAGGTTGATGGACCTGCAAGACTCGCGTTCGCTTTGACCTGCGAGACTGTAGGACTCTTACCGTCCGGCAAGCGTGACCCTCGGACGTAGTACAGGCCGTTCGGGCTATTTTGATACCACTTGATGAAATCCACGGTGAAGTTCGTGTTGTTGTGATTCAGTTTATTCACTTCGGCGGCCAGCTGAAAGACGATTCTATGGTCCTGAATTTGAAGTGTCTCGTTGGTCTCGGAGGATGTGATGGACAAAGGGAAGCGCATCGGGCCCATCTCTTGGTATTGCCGCTCGCTCGGGTCGCCAAAGTACGCTGTGTGTACGCGGCCACCAAGACGTTGACCGGCTTCGATGATGGACAAGTTGGTCATGCCTGACTGGTTGAGGGCCAACCATGTCATCAGTCCGGCCATGCCGCCACCTACAATGGCGATCTCTTTGGACTTGGCAGTGCGGACGTCGACAGCACTAATCTCTTTGTTCTTCAACAGCGCCACGCCGTCGAACCACGGTCCTTCGGCGTCGATGCCACTCGAGTTATCCATGGCAATGGTGAAGTCGCTTTGTCTTTTCCTGAGACGGCGACGGGTCGTTTTGGCATTTGAAGCGATTGAGACCGGGGCACTTCTGCCGATTAGACTCTGCTTGTTGTCCCACGCCGAAAGGCACAACCCCGTCGGTGTGAGCTCGGGAATCTTCCAGAGTAGTCTATCATGATCGCAATGCTTTGCTCGGCCGACGAGGTGGTGAGCTTCTCCTGGCGTGCTGGCCTCGCAGGGACCATAAGTGAAGACAACCTCGGAATGAACATTCTCATGGTAGGTGACGTGGATGTTGGCCAAGCCCGAGTCGACCACGCGCTTCAGATGAAGATTGACCGGAAGCGACGTCCCTAGGACACAAGACGAGAACAGAGCGAGCGTGATAAGTTGACCTGCCATCCTTGGGAACACAACCGGAGGCGAAGGAAGAAGTGTGATGGGGAGCTCGCGCTGCGGTTGGCACCCCCGTCACCAGGATCACGCATTCCTATATGTCCGGTTCACGCACATGGCGTATGTGTCGGCAAATTCTTTTGCTGCCTAAGCCTCGTGAATAGGCAGGCCATCGTAGTGAAGACTTTCCGGTCGGAAGCGTACAGGTCCGACGATAGTCTCGGAGCTCGCCATTCGTCCAGATTAAAAGGTTGCATGGAAGTTGAGTAGATGGATCTAAGTACCTGCCGCTTCAAGCATAGACGAGCCAGTCGAAGCTGAAGCATGTCTCTGTATCCAGGTGGTTACCTTGTAGATCACCTCGCGAACAAGGGCCGGCAATCGTTGGTCTGTATACTGACTCACATATTTACTTTGCTTACAAGTGGGCCAGTCGGCTGGGATCGGAAGATCTTCAGGTATGGGACAGATAGATTGCTGATACGAAGTCGGTCAAATGGTTTGATGATAGCTTCTGTAGTCCGAAGTACCGATGCCTGATGATGTTCTGTTAACTAAGCAAGAACTATCGAGTATCAGCCAGTTGAGAGACTCGGATAAATGTCAATCATTGTGGGGACAATGTCGGGGCCCTACAAAGAGAATACAAACATTCATCGACACCCACGCGGAGTAGTGCGATCTTTACTGCGATGAACTGATAAGCGAATGATATCTGGATTGAAGTCATTATCAATATCATTATAAACCTCATGTTGTACACTGGATAGAGAACACTACTATGTATGGGATTCGAGCATAATCTGGGCTTGTGCATAACCGACATAACATGGCTGGCGGTGAGAGTATTTGAAAGGGACGAGGACAAGGTTCATTCAGTATTCATCTCTATGCCTCTGGAGCATTTGGTATCTCAGCACTCGGCATTCAATCATGGCAGATGGCAAATACCATGGCTGTTTCAAAAAAAAAAACAACATGCAAAACACTTCTAGAAATAGAGCCATGTTTCTTTGGCGAGGACTTCGCAACATCAAAACTACTCCATACTCCATTTGAGTCGTCATGATCGGCTACACGTCTAGTTGCCAGCTTTGGTCTCGCCTGCCGCACCATCTGTGCCGTTCTGTCCCGAGTCCTGTATCCTTTGTCGTTTCGCATCGGCGCCGTCCAAAGTAATTGCTGTGACATTATGCTGCACATTGCTCAAGTCTCCTAGAGGTGTCCGCTTGGCCACTTGCTGTCCTGTGTCCGCTGTACCTTGATCTGTCTGGTTCCAGGGCAGAGGGGCGGCGTCGGGTCCACGTCGCGTCGGGGGTCGATATGCCGAAGTGGTAGGTCCTCGTACTACACTTGGCTGCTGAGCGCCTGGACTTGGAGCTCCAACCCTCCGGCTCGGCTCGAGTTGAGGATTGATGACGTTCGTGGCATTGTTCGTGTCGGGTTTCAGATCGCGTTTTAATGGAACAGATTTGGTGTGATCCACCCCAGAAGTCTTGCGTATGGAGGGACTTTCGGCATGGGGATTGAACTTTGGGGCGGCAGCTGCATCGGCAAGGATGAAGTTGTTATTGGCATCGATGTTGGGAGCTGCTTTGGCGGAGTAGAAGCCTGACGGCCGGGTATTCTCATATGATGCCTGCTGGGCGATATGCTCGGGCGCCACATTGGGAGAAAAGGATCGAAGTGTCTGTTCGGCAGCATTCCGTGCGTCGGTACCGATGGGTTGTCTGGTTGGCTGGGGCGGAGCTGGAGGAGGACGCTGGCCGGGCAGAGGCTGGGGAACTATGCCCTTCGACGAGTTCGTAGCAGGTCTTCCGGGTGCTGGCCGTACGTTTGGGGCTGGTGCTTTCGATGGTGTCGACAGCTCAGCCCTGGGCGGTGGAAGCATGCGGTCCGAGGTGCCATTGGCGGGCCTCCGCATTCTGTCTGTTGATTCCGTCGACAAAGCCACCTCTTCCTGATGAACCGTGTCGATGGCATCAAAGTCTTCCAACTCGAAATCCTCACAGTCGAAAGTGTCGTCAAATTCCGAAGCCGTCTCTTTGGCTGGCTCGGACAATATCGGTTTCGCCACACTTTCTTGTTTCTTGGGCGCGAAATCCGGGTGCCGATGTAAAGTATCCGGATCCCATTTCGCAGTTCCAACTTTCAGTTTCGTAACCTTGGCGAGATAGGCCTTATCGTAGACACAGTTCCCAAGGAGGTTACCAAAATTTCGCAACGCTCGCTTCAGAGCATCGGTCGTGCCCTCTTTCTTGGCCTTTTCAAACGCAGCTGCTTTTCCTCTTGCATTGTCAACCTGTCCGTAGCCAATGTCTTCGTGATGTGTCCCGTCCTTGAGTGTGACTCGCACAACCACAGAGAGGCCGAGAGATATCTTGCCCGTCTGCGTGTTCTCATCGACGAAATCGATCTGTATGTTCTGAATCGAGCTGCTCCAGCCGTTGAAGCCGAAGACTTCGTTCGCGAGGTTGATCAACTTGTCCGCAGAGAGGTAATGAACTTTCTGGCCACCTGGCCCCGGCCGGTGCGAGATATATTCTGGACCTAATTGTTTGTCTAGTCGGCTCTGCAGTGTGGCGATTTCTTGGGCCGTGAATTCACTGATTCTCTGTTTCGGTTCTTCAAAGGGATTCGCGGTGGCAGAGCCATTGGGCTTGTGTTGGTCTCCAACGCTGAAATAGTCAGCAGTCAACTCAGCCAAAGGAGATCAGAAAAGTGACATACGCAGGCATTGTCATGGACGGGCTGCCCGAGACATCTATAAAGTGCAGATGAGATACAGTTGTATGACGATGCTGGGGTTAAACGAGAATGCTATACAGTAGTAGGCAGGTCGCAGGCTCAACGTGAACTCACGCGTCAGCAGCCTGGACGCGACCTTCACAGCCGGCGCGTGGTCACATGACTTGGAATTGTCCACATGAACAAAAAATCACACGAACAAACGAAGCTCACAATCAGATAACTACCATGTGCAGAATTGTTGCCGAGTACGATTTCAGATCCGTCATTCAATACATACGGCTGTCATGATTTATGAAACCCAAAGCCTACAAGTGCCATCCCCGCCGGCGCTGACCAGCCAAGGGTGCTGAGGGTGCCAATCTAGGTCCAGGACACCCAAACCCCCAGCGATCTTGTGACCGCGCAACACCTTCAGAGGAACAATCTGCGCATTGCTCATGAGGTCGCTCGTAACTTGACCGTGGAAGATCTGTATGCTTCCGTCATCACTGCCATCTGCAAACAAAGGATACCGGTTTGTTGCAGGATGAAATCGGACAGTCCTGATCGCCTTCTCATGGAAACGCAAAGTCTTGTATGGCCGTGCAGATAGATCCAGGTCCATCCACAAAAGTCGCCTGTCGTAGGAGCCCACAATGAGATTGTCCGATCCTGCTGTCGAAGAGCTCGTAGGGTGAATGTCAAAACTACTAATCCACCTGGCACCCGGTTGAACAATCTTCAGCAACGACTGTTTGGAGAGGTCGTACGATCGAATCACCCGTTGGTTGGCAACGAATAGTATGGGCCTCGTAGGGTGAAAGTGTGCCACTTGAGGAGTCCCTCCACCTCGCAATCGCTTCCGGAATGGCAGTTGCGTCTGATGCTTGCTAATGGTGTGGATAGCAATGGCTTGGGAGGCTGGAACGGTGGTAGCAGGACTGATGGTGACGAAATGATTGCCAGCAGAGTGGAAGGAAAGAGTCTTTGCCGTGTGGCCAAGATGAATGACGACGGCGACGCCTTTATCGCGTTGACTGGCAGCTGGCCTGCTCCATTTAATCGTTGAAGTTTTGGTAGCAGCATTGTCCGACTTGGCGTAGCCCCATCCCGCATCGAGTATCGCTTGAGCTGTCTCGATTTCAGGATTGTGTTCGGGTCCAAGATGTGGGACGCAGAGGTAGATGTCGTCTCCAGCCGCTGCGGCCAACACCGTGGCGTCTTTACCCGGCCGCCAGCGGACCACGTTCACAGCAGAATCGGTCGATAGAGTGACGGACCAGATCTCCCTCTGTGGCTCGAGCAACCAAACCCGGACTGTTCCATCGTCACCTCCAGTCGCAAGATATTGCCCAGAAGGATCAATGGCCACAGAGCGGACTCTGCCTTCGTGACCACGAAATCGGCCAGCTTCATGTGTTGGGAACGGACGTAGTTCGTCGGGGTTGGGTAGTTTGGGTAGCAGAGATTCGGGGTCTATGTTCAGTTTCGTGCGACGAACACGAGGAGCGAGGTAAAGATCCAGACAGCGGTCAAACTTCTCTTTGACGAAACGTTCATACCCAGGGACTCTTCGCAAGGAGGCGTAGTCCGTCGGCAAATAGTCTTTCTCTCGGTCCTCGTCGTCAGCCTTCTCCCAAGCTTCTTTTTCTTTCCTGTCTGGCAAGTACTCTGGCGGGGGATGGTAGCTTTCATCGAAGCCAGGTGGTGGAAGTTTAGGTGCTGGCATGTGCATTGCATGGTCGGGTCTGGGCTGTTCGTCTGCCCAGATATCGTAGTTTTGAACGCCCTCAGTTTCACCCTCATCATCTTGGGGAGGCTTGTATGGAAGGATACGACCTTCCCTGATGGCTCGCACGATCTTCATGACACGTTTGGCTTCGTGTTTGGAAGGAACAAACCGTCTCTTGGGCTCTGGCGCTGCACTCAACGGCATAGTCTCGGTTTTGCTTGTGAACCATTCGACCGTGGGCTCGTACGGATCATAACCATCCTCTGGTATCTCATTCATCTGCACCTTTTTCAACAACTGAAGCTCCTCCCGCGTAAGCTCTAGCGGTTTGCCTGTTGATGGGTCTGTCAGCCCGGTCCATCCTTTGGGCATCTCTATGCTGTCGAGCAAGGCATCCAAAGCCTCTCCTCTAGCCGGTCTCATGATCTTCTTTCCATTGATGTTGTAGCCGATGTGAGGGTAGGAATCGTAAAAGGATAGGGGAATGTCGCCAATAGTGTTGGCCTCGTCGTCAGGTACCGAATATTCAGAGTCCTCTCCGGGGTCGATCTCGTCGTAAATGAATCGGTCGTTGCCATTGGCATCTTTGACAACTCTGTAGTTGGGCTTTTCTTCCTCATCTGCCACAGAAGTTGCAGTCTCCTTGCCGGCGACGGTGATGTCGACCTCCGCATGCTTGCCGCTCTTCACCGGTTGTAAGATCTCATCATATTGGTTGTCTGTTGACACGACATCGCTGTCGTCATCTCCAGCACTACCCAAGTCGTCTTCTTCACCATCACTCTCAGAATCATCGTCAGAGAGTGCTCCGTCTAGCTGGCCAAAGTCAAACTCGTCGCCCGACACAATGGCAGCGTCTTCCTCGACATCCTTTGTGACAGCCTTTCTCTTCCTCGAGTCAGCCATCCCGTCCCGAATGTTGCACTGGATCAGAAGTGCTGTATGGAACAAAAGGCTGGACTCTCCAAAAACGCAGTTTTGGAATTTTTTTTGGTTTGGCATCGGAGAGTGCTTAGTGCCGATCGGCTGTTTTGGCCCCACTCGAAACTAAACTCCAATAATTGTGTATGTCAGCAATATGCTCATCCGCATCGCATCGCCCAGCGCAATTCAGGCGCCCACTACTACAAGTACTACCGGGGGGGTCCTCATTTTGGCGTGCCCGCAAACCAAAGAATCAGCCAGACTTGTACGGAGTACCTCGCATTCGAGATCATGGCGGCCGAACGCGGAAGAGACTTGATCGAGATATACGGATCGTACCCAGTCTCCAAGACATTCGCAGTCACGGACAACGTCCCCGGTCTCGCAGATACAGACATGCCGACCTACAGCGCCGCGTTCGACGTGGACCCCACCACGACGAAGAGGCATGCGGCTTGTGACGAATGCAGTGAGTTTGCCCATGAAATGAGCACGACCGTTTGAGTGTTCGATCCACCATCTAACTGGCCCGCCCAGGAAAACGCAAGTTGAAGTGTTCCGGCGAGCCTTCTGGCTGCGGAAGGTGCCTCAAGCAGAACCTGACTTGTCATTACTCGGTACAATCCAAGATGGGACGGCCACGGAAAAAGCAGAAGACGGAAAATGACGCCCCTGGGGACGACGACGACGTCGTCGTCGTCGACGTGCCATCTTCCTCGGAGACACAAGTTCGGCGGCCGCGGCCTACAACGTCTGGTGGGCAACCTGGTGTAGACCCACGCAAAGACTCCCGATGCCAGAAGGCGATTGCGAGGACCGAGTTTGAGAATGTGTGCAATGCTCCTATATCCCAGTCCATCCGCCGGTCGGCGGCGGCGGCGGCTGCTGCTACTGCTCCTGCTGCTGCCTCGAATTCGACATCTCAAGGCTCGAACAACACGTCGCCCCGTACTCCCCCAGACGAGGCGATCCTCCCGAACGGATCGTACCCTACCGACGTTTCCCTCTGGCCCGACTTCTCCGACATGACCATGCTTCCGATGTTGGTTCAAGACAGCCACGAGCAGGACAAGGCCCCTGGGGCGTCGTCCTTCGACACGTCGGCCGCACCCATCGGCCCTTATATGGCCGCCCATGACCACTCTCCGACCCCCGATCAGGCCCACCTGTCCCATTTGCCCGCCGTGCCGGACTGTCCGTGTCTGCCGAATTTATACTTGACTCTGTCGACCTTGTCCACACTCTCCGCGTTCCCCGTCTCCTCCGGCACGGTCGACACCCTGCTCAGCTCGCACCGCACCGGGCGCGGCGTGATTTACTGCGGGGTCTGCCCGCAAAGGTTCCAGAGCGGCTCGCAGAACGTCATGCTCAGCAGCATGCTCATCACGGTGCTGGCGGACCACTGGCTCCGCGTGAAGAAGAGCAGCGCGATCGAGTTACGGAGAGGCTTCAGTGACGACGACGGCGACACGTGCCTGGTGGACGCGGGCGTGAACCCCCCCGACGGCAACGGTGCCATGTCACCCAGGGAGGACCTGGAATGGCGGACGTTCGGGTATCGACTGATCCGCGCGTGCGTGTTTGGCGACGCCGACGTCCCGAGCCGCCCCGGTTCCGCCGACAACGACCGGCCAGCCTGTTCGCCGTCACCTTACACGCTCCTGGACCTTTGCGGTGCCCTCGAACGGCGGCAGAAGCAGTGGCACAACCTCGAGGCCTGGACGGGCGAGTTCACGCAGAGACTGACGGACGACCTGTCGCGGGGCCACACGGTGGGCATGACCCTGCAGGAGCTGCAGGAGTGCGAGGAGAAGTCGCTGGCCAGCGGGGAGGACGGGATGCTGTGCCTGAAGATCGTCAAGCACGCGAGGATGATCATGAGGAGTCTCGACGGACTCCCGCCGAGACTCGGTGATTAAGACGTCCACCGCGGCATGAAACGTCTTCCACGTTTTAACGCTTCTGACGTTTCTGCTTGTCAACGAGGTAATGATATAATCAACTCCCAGCTACGATAACGATTCATAGTCTACGCTGGATTGTTGAACGTATGAAACCCGAACTGTTGACAAATCCTCGTCCGAGGCCAGCAGCTTGGTTTGCATACCGAATGACATCCGATGTGGTAGAAATATTATATGTGAACTTTGTTCTACGTACATTACATATGGGTTGGTTCTCTTTTAAATCACCACTGCTGAGTGTCTTGAAGTATCTTTTTGACATGTGGACCTCTTTTTTTCTACGCTCAACATCTACATTCTATCGGGCATCTCCCTCGTCTCTCACCTTCCCGTTCCTTTGGGCCGTGCGTGTGTGGTTTACAGAATGACGCAGTTCTTGGGCAACCCACAAGGACCACTCTCTGGCTTATCGTCGGTGTCGGGGTTTGTGTTTGTGTTGTTCTGGGCGCGAGTCTCCTTCTTCCCTTCTGCGGCTGCCGTCGCGGTTCCTGTCCCTGCTGCTGGGGCAGCCGCGGTCTCCTCCTTTTTCTCTCCGTTGGCGCTGCCATCTAGTCACGCCGCACCGAAGCTGACCTTGCTGACGTGGTCCCAGAACCCTTTACCCTGGGCGGTGGCCAGTTCGATCTCGCGGGCGCTGGGCTGGCGGCTACCGTCACCGGACGCAAAAGTGCCTGCGCCCCAGGGGGAACCACCTCGGACCTCGTCCAGGGCGCTCTGGATCTGGAAGGTGGTGGCGTAACCGAGGGGGACGTAGATCATGCCCTGGTGAACCCAGGAAGAAAGGGCATTGATGCAGGTGGATTCCTGGCCTCCACCGGCGGTCGCGGTGCTGACGAAGAGGCCAAAGTACTTGCCGTACAGCGCACCCGTCATCCACAGCTGGCCGAGCTTGTCGATGAAGGTCTTCCACTGGGCCGAGTAGGTGCCGTAACGGGTGGGGATCCCGAACAGGAACGCATCGTAGGTCTTGAGGATGTCCGGGGTGATGAAGGGGATCGAGGTGTCTTGCGCGGGGGCGTGCATCTTGCCCAACACTTCTTGAGGGAGGGTCTCTTCGATTCTGTTACAAGGGTCAGTCATGACTCGTCTGTCTTGTGTCACCCGGGATTGCTGAGGAATGTCGGTGGACTCTGCAGGCACGGGCAAGAAGGTTGTGTCACGGAGGTGGACGGAATGAATGGGGTCATGTTGGTGGTTTGAGACTGAGGGAATGGGTTTTCGAACATACTGGTAGAGATCAGCAGTACCGCCTGCTGCTTCAATACCCTTCTTCTCTGCCTGGGCCAATTGGGCAATATGGCCGTACATGGAGTACTATAGTAGGTAGTATCACCGAGTCAGTTTCCGGACTGTCGAGGAGACACAAGAGAGATAGAGAGAGAGAGAGAAAGAGAGAGAGCATACATAGACGATAGCGACCTTGGGAGCCATGATTGATGAATGTGTATTGAGATGTGAGTTAGTGGTTATGAAGAGTTCTTGAATGAGTCGTAGTTGAGGAAGAGAGACCGTGCTGGAGAGAGAAGTAGGGAAAAAGATTCAGGATCAAGATTGTAGGATGTGTCGAGGGTTTAAGTATGGGGAGGGGGTCACGACGAAGACAAGGAACCAAACAAGTATGTTAGCTACAGGGAAGTCGAATCGAAAATGGCAAACGCATGTACCACAAAATATTAGGTATTATTGATTGCATTAGTCCGAGAGGGACAGAGGAGGAGGAGGAGGACGAGTGACTTGCACAGTAAGTCGTACCGTGAGGTCTTTGGGACGTACCAGGTATCCCGTATCTGTGACAACAAGAAGGCAAAAAGCTCGTCCCAAGTCCCCGCCATGCCAACATTACGACAGGGATTGATAACACAGTCCTCGGTACGAGTCTTTTTTACAATAGCAACCCACGTCTTTCCATCTACCAGTACCCGTACTAGCAAATGATTACCGAATCAAGGTCGTAGCTACGGCGCAGTTCCGGTAGATCTCGTAGAGGCACTGGGATAGTACTGTATTCGTACGAGTATGTACCTTAGCGACCCTTGCTCTTCATAATATCCCGTACCGAGCTGTTCGTTAATACTGTACAGTAGCCATCGCATCATCGACAGGGGGACTATGTAGCACCAGGGACCCTTGCAAAGCTCCTCTTTTTCCTGGTGGGCATCAAAAGAGGGGTTATTGTACGGAGTAGTACTGTAAAAATGGGGCCTTGGACCGGCTTATGAAATCCTGACAGAGAATCGTCAAATCTGCCCAATTGCCACCAGGAACCCGCTTGCAGTGTGCGGAATTGAAGTCGACTGTCCTGATTAATACGAAGTAGTCCGTACTGTACTCCGTGCTCCCGTAATACCCTTAGGGACCTTTGTTCGATCATCCACCCGGACCATCTCCTGGTCAGCTCTCGTTAGTTGATTCTTGGTCAGCTTTAACGAATCTGTTCGGCCTCAACGTCAAGAAGATCTGATGCATCCTTCCCCGGAAGCCATGCAAAATCTTCTACCGTCGTTCTGTTGGGAGTCCGTGTGATCCAGACTTGTCACCGTCGTCGTTTAATTTTCAACTCCTGCGCTGGAGCGGCTACACAAGACTCTCTTCTCAACCCCCGATGCAAGATATGAATGAGTAGGTCATTAATTACTGACAGGTATTCCGCATTGAAGTGAACCCTCGTATCATTCCTCCTCCCATTCAAGCATCATCTGCTTCTCATGGATTCTATTTGCGCTGCCAACAATGACCTCAGCCTTGGCCAACAATTTGTTCTTGAATCTTTCTGCCGCTTCGCCCTGCAATTTTGTCTTCCAGGCGTGCGCCTGCATCATGATGGGGACTAGAGTCGAAGGGTCAGCCTCACCGAGAGCTCTGACGCTCTTTAGTCCACTGTCCCAGAAGATACGTGCCATGCGACTTTTGACGAAGGCGACCTGCGCCATCTCAAGCAGATCCGCCCGGGCTCCTGCACGGAGTCGATCAAGCATGTGTTCCAATACCGCTCCGAGCATACCCCAGCCCATTCTTCGGCAAAATTGGACCATGCCTGCGGCAAAGCCGTGGCAGGTCTGAGCAAGTGTCTGCACCTGTCCGCGGGAGACGCTGTACTTCAAGCTGATCTCGTGCACTGGCATCTCGTTGCAAAGATCTCGCAACTGGAAGGCGGAGTAAACACGGCGATACACCCTAGCAACCCGGGCTTCGTCCGCAGTGGTCTCCTTCAATGCAGCACCGCTGTTGACGAGGCGATTGACGAATGCAGGACTGACTCCAATCAGCCGCAGTGCTCTCATCCCGCTGTCGTCAAGCTGCTCTAGCTCATCCCGAAATGTCAACCAAGCAATCTCACCGAGGCCAGAGGTCTGGACTGGAGTGAAGAGGTAGAAGATGTGCATGTCTCCATCCATCACGAACGATTCGAGGGCACGTCGCAATTCAGAGTGCACAAAAATCCCGTCTTCAGGACTCAAACCAGCAGCCACGACAGCTGTACCCAACGCCGTCGGTTCAAGGCACTCGAGCGACTCCCGGGTCTGGATGAGTCCCCTATCAAGCAGTTCCTGAATGGAGGCTTTCACCATTCCTTCAACCACGTCCCTCTCCGTCGAGTGCCAGAGCAGGGAGGAATGCACGTACTGATCTAGAGATGCTCTACTCGATGCCATGCGAACAGCCACAACTTCAAGCAGCGCTCGTGTGATGCCTCGCTTCTCGGGTGTCAAGCAACTGAGGATAGCAGGCATCTCTGCTTCGAGGAGCCCTGCAACAGCTTCAAGGTCCTCTTTATGGCAGCACAAGTAGGTCTCACCGTACTCGTCTTTGCCCTTGCGTCCGGCTCGACCACGCATTTGCCGTAGCATTGCAGGTCCCACGAGCTCCCGACCTATTCGAGCGCTTTTCAAGATCACACGCCGTGCTGGGAGATTGATACCAGCAGCAAGACCACAAGTCGCCACCATGACCTTAAGCACACCAGTATCATAAGCCTCTGTGACAAGTTCCTGTTCCTCAGTGGTGAGTCCGGCATGATGAAAACCAACGCCATGCAAGATGGTCTTGACAAATGTTGCTTCGAATCCTCCAGGCAGTGCTTGCAACGACGCCATCAAGTCCTGACGCTTGTCTAGTGTATTTACATCACACTGATCCGTAGGCATAGCATCACTGATGAGACATGCAGTTCTTTCAGCTCCCAGTCGACTGTTGCAGAATACCAGAGCTCCGTGACCATCTAGAGCAGTCTCAACCGCCAGAGCCGCCACAGCATTGGTCAGAGGGTTTGACAGGTCCTGGTGTTTGGGCTCGGATATGGTGCGACAAGGTTTTGGTCGCGGTGTCGAATCCACTTCCTCGGCGGTTAGCTGGCCGACAGTTCTGAAGAAGGCTTTGGCGTTTGCTGTTCGATAAATTTCATTTTCATAGACCAGATGTTCTTCGATGGGAACTGGGCGGTATTTGGCGATGTAGAATTTGGCTTTCAACCACTTAGCGAGAAGTTGGGGGTTGGGAAGCGTTGCGCTCATTCCGATAATCTGCACGCCGCTGTCAAGCGACAGTAACTTCGAAGCAAGAAGTTCTAGGATATATCCGCGGTGCTCTTCGTTCAGCATGTGAAGCTCATCAAGCACGACAGCCGCGAAACCTGCATGTTTTCCTTCCTCGATTGCGGCATTAACCATAGAATTTGCTTTTTCGATGGTGCATACTGCCACATCGCAGTCAGGCCATTCCGCTGAGGACTTGAGCCTCCCACCAAAGAACCCAGTTACGCGAATGGAGGCGTTGGAGCTAGACCGTGTCTGGCTCGGTTGGCTCTCACAGAAATCGACATTCTTACCGACGCCATCGACAAGCGCTCTGAGCCACTTCAACTTCTCTTGTACAAGGGCCACGTAAGGCAAGACAACCATGGCCTTCTTCTCAGGATTCTCGATAATCCTTCTGAGCATGAGAACGTCTGCCACCAAAGACTTGCCACCACCCGTGGGTGCAGTATACACCAGATTCTGTTCACCTTCAAGCATTCCGCGTCCAAGCAGACAGGAAGACTGCCATGGGTAGATTGATTGTACGCCCAAATGTTCCAAGTTGTCAGCCAGTTTCGAAGGCAGTCCATATCTAGGATGGCGAAGAGAAAGGAGGGGATTTTGGGAGGGTCCGGGAGTGGATGAGATTCTTGGAAGGAATGGGATGGGCCGTGGTGCGTTGACCGACTGCCCATACTCCCCACCCACCACTGGTACAATGCGACTTGCCTGTAAACGCGGAGGCTGGCATGGTTCATTCGGCCTCGGCGGTGGATGGGAAGTAGTTCGTGTTGGCAAATGCTCTACGGCCTGACCATGCGGGGAGTGTCGAGCGTGCGGCTCGACGTCGAACTCATCATTGTGTCTTTTGATACCTGCGACTGGCTGAAAGACGTATTTCTGATCGCGTGCGAGATCCAATGTCGAGCGATGTCCGTGTGTCACGGTCGAACGTTGCCATGCAGCACCCATGTAGCAGCCATAAGCATCCCGCGCACCGGCAATGCCAATATATCACAAGAAGACCAACTTACTTGGAAGCAGAGGTGTAGTGTTAGGAGCAGAATTTTGGTACAAGCAAGGTCCAGCGTCGAAAAGCGAAAGACGATCTGGATGCGAAGTGGCGGTTGCACATGCAGGTAAACACGTCTAGAACGGAAATGGAAAAGTGCGATCTGAATCTCTGCGGCCCTGCAGTTGGGGTCACGTTATTGTCTGGGAGAACTCCGACTCCAACGCCATCCATACCTCCCTTTGTTGGTGGACACCATGTTCAGATGACAATCAATTACATTCAAGGATCATAACAGGGGAGCATCCATGAATTTGGGTGCACCCAGACTTAGTGGGAGTTGGGGTTAGAGTGCTTTCGTTACAACTGACGTGTTTGACCCGAGTCTTTTGACAGTGGAGCATGGTCGGGAGAAGGCAATGCGAGCGCGGAAGGTCTGGAAAAGGAAGAAGGGAGTCATGACACATTGCCAGCGATGAAGGCCGATGAGTGGGGAGCGTAATTTCTGTTTGGAGAGGATAAACTGTTGTCGAGCCTGAAGGCCAATTGATAGACGGGGCCAACACGTAAACTCAAAGGGTTAGTTATGGGCGATATTGGTGTGGCAATAGGCGTCAAGTGTGCGGTAAGGCTGACCCGAAACTGGCTCCTGGTGTGTCGCCTGCGCAGATACACCTTGGGGGCCGATGTCGAGACTTGACAAGAGGAGGACAAGCAACAGATGCGGTCATTTTTAGAGAGGAAGGGTTTGGTCATGTGATGCCAAGGCGGGCGCTAAGTCGGCGGTGGGGCCTGCCACGGCAGGGAATCACAGACTTCCTTCGACCTCATCCATCTTGTGCCGGCAGACAAGGGAAGTGCAATGGCCACGGGGACCAGGTCTCTTGTCAACGATGGTCGTCGAAACAAAGGCAGCTATATCCTTACTCGAAGGCCGAATCCCGACCATGTCAAGGGAAAAATCAGATGGAATTCAATAAGGAGGAAATGGCCTCCTTGGGAAGAGACATTTCAAATGGACTGCTTGGTCCTCCGTATTTGCCTCTACTGTAGCAAATACGGATACCAAGTCATTCCTCCGTAAACCTGTAGACCTGGTGGAACAAAGCACAGTACCAACCCAGGCGCCCGGCCTTTGCCCATCACCATTCTTCCCGTTGTTCTTCTTTCTACTCTGGTGCTCCCTTTTGGGCATCACTACTCTGCACAAATTCTCACTATCATCCTAATTATTCGCCCCAGTGTCTCCCTTCCACTTTTCGCACCTGAGGTTCCCTTCTGGCCTCAATCCGATTCTTTGTTACCTGGTGTCAGATCAAGATTGCCCTCACCTACCACCCATCTCACTGACTCTTGTACGAATCCGTGTTTGCCTCGTCTCCACCCCTCACAGCAAAGCAACACATCCAATACCTGTTGCGTGGGTACAGGAAGTAGGTTTATGCCTCTCGTGTCTCGTGTGTCCACTGCCCACTTGGCTGTCTCTCTCTCGATGACGGGCTACGAAAAATAGCTGCCAGGCTGCCGATGGTGGCTTGTCTTGGGTCGTCGCTTTGCCTCCAAACAAAGTCACTCTAAATATCCTTACGTAGACCATGTGGTCGTTGGTCGTCCTAGTCCAGGCCAGTCACTACTCGTCTGTCGAATATCTCGGCATCCCATCCGTGGTCTGCTCCGTCTTCCCTTCCACTCCATCGCTATCCAGAGTCGTCGAGGCCAACCTGCCACCTCACTCACTAAATAACCTCGCGACGTCCCTCACAGCACTAGGGCCACATTCTGACCTTCCGCCGATTTCTCACCTTTCCCCATCTTTTTCCTCTTCCCTTTTCATACTTCCTCCCTCCACCCACTTCGAACCACCATTTCTCTTTTGCTTTCCAATCTGCACTACTCTTGGCTTTCATTCCATTTGGACGACGATACTTCTGATTGTCTACCCTCTGGCGCTGTGCCGAATAGAGTCCGCCTACCTGCGCCATCTCTCCAGCAGCAGTGCATTCCGACTTAGAGCCACGCGAGCGCGTGCCTGATCTGATATATCCTCCTCGTTGTTCGCCCCTCGCTATTTTCTTCTGTGAACACTGTCGGGTTACGTCTCTCACCAACCCCAGCCCTCATCGCCTTGACAACATAACGACATTGAATGTAGCACTCTTGTCTTCGACACCGCCATCTCTTGTGCTACTCCGCATCCCAGTTGTCTGGCCGCTCTAGCCCGCGTCGTCGCTACACTTTGCGCCCACATCCGCCTACGCCATGCAATAAAGCCAGAGCTTGACGACTCACAAAAGCTGCGCTCCCTTCGCCTTGAATGGCCATGTCGACTTCTGAGATCCCATCAGAGGCGGCAACGCCTTCAGGTGGTCTCCCCGACAAGCAGCCAGATGCAGCCCTGACCTCCCAGACCGATGCACCGCCAAGCGCAACGGCACATAGCGCTGCTACCAGCATGGAGGTGTCGCCCGCACCCGAAACTGCGCCTACTCTCGAGATGCCGCAATCTCAACCGATGACCGCTACCGCGTCTTCCTCCTCCCTAAACCCTCCCCAAGAAAATGGGCTCGCTGCGAATGCTGGTACATACGGTACTCGGTCAAGAAATCGTACTGGGACACGACCTAATTACGCCGAGGACAAGGATTTGGACCTCGAGATAGAGACGTCGCCCAAACTCAACCGCTCAAGTAAGAGATCTTCCGCTGTGACAGCCGAACAACATAGCAGCGCTTCAGGTTTTACGGCGGTCAACAACTACACAATGGATCACTCTTCGGACAATGTCCCTTCAGGTGGCACCTCAACCCCGGTCCCTGCTGCAGCACCGGCGCCCTCGAAGAAGAGGAAACATCCTGGCAGTAGCCATCCTGTTTCCGCAAACCACGCTCCGCCGGCCAATTCGAGGTCCCGCCATACCGCTGCCATGCCGCTGAAAGGCTTCGTGGAAACGAACATGATGAGCTTCTCCAAGTGCGGACGTAAACTCAACGCCAAGCAGCAGCTGGTTGCAGATGATGGCACAGCAGTGCAGACAAACGGTTAGTTTTGTTTAGATGATAGAGTTCCTGACTGTGCTAACCTCGTCAAGATCATGTCTATATGGTGTGCGAACCCCCGGGCGAACCTTACTACCTTGCGCGTATCATGGAATTCTTACATGCGAAGAACGATCCCGAGGCCCCCGTCGATGCGATTAGAGTCAACTGGTACTACAGACCGAAAGATATTCTGCGACGTGTTCAAGACACCCGAGTGGTATTTGCCTCGATGCATTCGGATACGTGTCCGCTCAACTCTATCCGGGGAAAATGTAATATACACCATCTGTCGGAGATATCGAATATGGATGAATATCGCAGCCAGCAAGATTCCTTCTGGTTTGACAAGCTTTTCGATCGGTACATGCATCGTTACTACGAGGTCATACCCACACAACGCGTCGTCAATGTTCCACAGCATGTCAAAACCGTCCTTGACCAGCGCTGGAAATTCGTCTTGGTCGAGATTGGCAGGGGCCGAGAATTGACGAGCGAGAGCAAGAAGTGTACGAGATGCGAACAATTTGCCAGCAATCACGACTCGGTCGACTGTGCCGTCTGCAAGAGAACCTACCACATGCAATGCGTCAGGCCCCCGCTACTGAAGAAGCCCGCCCGAGGGTTCGCATGGGCTTGTGCTGCCTGCAGTAGAGCGCAAGAGCTGAAGATGGATTCCCGCAATACGCCAGCAGGCTCCGACGCTGCTCACGGCGATGATGACGACTTCATGGATGAGGATGACGACGAGCCTGTGGCAAAGATTCAGGACACGCGCGAAAGCAGTGCCGTTCCCGAGGCACATCCCCCCCCCACGGCTGCTCAGATTGCACAGGCAAATTTGTGGCCGTGGAGATATCTCGGAGTCCACTCGCGCGTAGAAGATGCGCTGGATTACGACGACCGGATCTACCCTCGTGCTAGCTCTCGACTTGGGCCTCGCCATCAAGCGAATGTCAGTGTCTGGCATGGCCGACCTGTGGAATTTGTGAAACCCGCAGAAGCCAAGAAGAAATACAAAAATGCAGATGGGAAGAGAGATAAGAAAATGAAAGATGGAGGCCATGACACGGATAGAGACCAGCGCCCCAAACGCCCTAAGTGGGTGGTTGACGAGCCCGTGGGCTACATCCCTCGTGGTCATGATGAACCCGTGGAGATCAAGGGCAAGAAAGAACACACTGCGCAGCTACTCTTCAAGATGCCAGAAAGGCCCGAGTCTTCAGAACGTGGAGGCGATGACATTGACAAACCAGAGGACGCGGATGTGCTTGTCGATGATTACATGAAAAGGGTTAAGCCCCTCGCGGCGCAGTACAACTTGCTGGATTCTTCCGTCGACTTTTTAACCAAGGCTGTCGAGAAGCTGTACGAAAACAAGTTCGACGTGAATAAAGCCTTGGATGCCATGAAAAGTCTATCGCTGAGAGCCGACTTGAAACAACCAGACTTGAACCGTGAGGAGATCAAGCGTTTCGAAGAGGGTGTCGCCAAATATGGCAGCGAACTTCATGCCGTATCTCGCCATGTTGGGGGAAATGTGAAAGAATCACGGATTGTCAGATTCTATTATATCTGGAAAAAGACCGAAAGAGGCCAACAAATCTGGGGTAATTACGAAGGCCGACGTTCTAAGAAAGAATCGAAACGTGCCGATAAAGATGGGAATGTCAAGCTTCTAGACGATGTTGCGGATGATAAAGATGATTCTGCTTTCGACGAGGAAAAGGCAGTCCAGAAGAAGCGTGGATTTGTCTGCAAGTTTTGTGCAACGGATCACTCACGACAATGGCGCCGCGCACCAGGTACACCTCCAGGCACTCTCGTACCCAAGGATTCCTCCGCGAAGAATAGCAAGGACAAAAGTGGTTGGCTTACCCTAGCACTTTGCGGTAGGTGCGCCTACCTATGGCGAAAATATGCAGTACAGTATGAGGACATTGAGGAGGTTTCCAAGAAAATCGCAGCCTCTGGCAGCCGAGCTGCTAAACGGAGGGTTGATGAAGAGCTGCTGCGTCTCATCCTCGAAGCGCATCAGATGTCTGGCGATCCTATCCCTCCACGTGCGGTCGATGAAGTCAACAAAGCCGGTATGGAGGTTCCCCAGAACATCATTCAGCCCGAAGAACCACCAAAGAAGAAAGGCAAGACCGACCGGGATGGACACCATGCGACGGCAGACGTTGTTCCCGAGAAGAAGAAGGCGCCGGAGAAGCCACAAGAACCGCCGCCAATCGAGCCCGACCCACCCAAGGTTAAGATCCACCCCTGTGCTATATGTCGAGTTATCGATGTGCCTGGGCAAGAACTGCTCAAATGTCGCGACTGCAGATTGCATGTTCATGGGTCCTGTTATGGTGTCGGGGCCAAGACCAATACCAAACCGTGGTTTTGCGACATGTGTAGAAACGACCACAATCTGCAGGTTTCGACCACGTACGAGTGTGTTCTCTGTCCGGTGAAGTATACACATCAGGAATTGATGGAACCGCTCAGACCTTCGCACAAGAAAAAGACAGATCGCGACCGTGAGAAGGAGAGGCTTGAGCGCGAAATCATCCAAGAGGCCAGTCGTCGTTGGCGAACGGAGCAAGAAGCTGCCGGACGCCCAGTCAATCCCCGAGAAGCATTAAAGAGAACAGCATGGAACAATTGGATGCACATTACATGTGCGCTCTGGACAAAAGAGATCAAATTTGGCAATGCTGAACTGCTTGATGATGCTGAGGGTGTCGGCTTCATCCCAGGGGACCGGTTCGAACCCATCTGCAAGATCTGCAAGCAAGGCGGCTATCCCACAGTAAAATGCCACCAGTCGAACTGCAACACCTTTTTCCACGTGGGATGTGCTCATCAAGCCGATTACATTTTTGGGTTTGACGTGGCCCCCGTGAAGAGCAGCCGTCGCGACTCGGTCAATGTGATGAAACTTCAGACCGAAACTGGCATCGTCACTGCTGGAATCTGGTGTCCAAGCCATCAACCGTCAACATTTGTACACGGAATGCTGGAACCCACGGAAGGTGGTTTAACTGCCATGCAACTCTTTGCACGGACTTACAAGCAAGTCGACAATTCGGTGACTGGAACAGTCCGGAGAGCCGCTCAATTCACCACGAACGTACCTACCACAGCACCTGCTGTGCAGTCCGTGTCCAGGCGCGGATCGACCATCAATGGCCTTGCTAACGGCGCTCAGGGATATGTCGAGGATGCCAATACACGCTCGTCGCCTATCGTGGAGTCTCCTAAAGGTACTGGGGCTGTCGGGATGATCGACGACATCGTGAAGAAGACTGCCAAAGGCGGCAGGATATGCTGCAATTGTGTGGTGGACGTCAGTCCTCGCTGGTGGCCACTGAAGTCGGGAGATGTACCAGGATCTACTGTCAATGGAGTGCAAGCGACGCAGCTCTCGGATGTCACCGGTGCAAATGGAGCACCGGACGTTGTCATGACGAATGGAATCGTTAAGGCCGAGCCCACTGACACAAACGGAGTGATTCACGTTGTCGACAGCCAAGATCGAACTATGTGGCAATGTCACAAGTGCCACGTGCAGGAGCTGACACCGCCTTCGTCGCCCTCACAGATCAAACCCCGAGAAAAACGCGCTCCGGAACCTGTACCAGAGCCATGTGCTGCCTATCAATCACCCTATGCTGGGCCGTCTTCGTCGAATTATCCAGTGGGGCGACCGCACCTGGAAGGAGGGTTATTGCCTCCTCAATCTCGTCCACCACAACGTCGGCCTGTTCCGCCACTTCCCAAACAACTGAGCTGGCAAACCCCTGCTGGATGGGCACCAGGAACCATTCCTCGTGGCCGCAGAACATCGCCGGCACCCCTAACAGCATATCCTCCCGCTTATCGGCCTCCATATAATGAACCCGGGTACGGCAGACCTCCAACCCATGCCTACTCGACTGCACCGCCGCCATTGCCTCCGCCACCGCCACCGCCTCCTCTACCCACCGCAGGGCACCTAGTCCAACATTCTCCTCCACCTGTATCATATGGCGGTCCTCCTCCGCACCATCAGCACCCAGCTCAGAGCGCACGAACCCCTCCACAAGGGGCCAGACCCCCTTCCCCGCCACGATTCGAACGCCCTCCAGCTCAGTCACCTCATCTTGGATTACAGTCTAGCATTTTGTCTCGATCCTATGCACCTGATCCACCACGACAACCAAATCTGGGATCTCCTGTGAATGGGTATTCAGCACCTCCCATGGCTACTTCGAGGCTATACAACCATGCCCCTCCACCACCGCCGCCGCTACCACCCTCTCATCAATCGGTAGCAGTCCTTAGACAGTCTCCATCGACACAGCCTTTGCCGCTGATCCCGCAAGCTAGTGCTGAGCAGCCAGGACAATCTCATTCCAGACATGCGAGCAGCGACATCACTGGCACTCCGAGATTCGGTCCTCGACCAATCTCCGAAAGCCCACACCAACGTCCGATTACTCCGGCTGCTGCTGCAACGGGGCTCAAAGACGACAAAAGAGACGGCTCCGGCGCAAGTGCCAGTCCTAGTCTCAAAAACCTATTGAGCTAGACACTTGCGCCGAGTCCAATATCCAGCATCCAAGTATGTCACCACGCGTCGACCTGGTGTAAAATGCTCCGGCACTGAGCGCGGGGCAAGTCGAGGACCAATGCTTATTTGCATGCAATGTGCTACGAGAGATGCGCAAAGATTCATGTGTTTCGGTTCATTCGAAGGGGGGCGTTACGCAGCCGAATGGGGCAATGGGTCAATGGGTATTGATTGGCAATGTTGATTTTGCCTTATTTCAGCCATTGTCTACCTTGGGAAGAAGGGATGCACGTTTGTCTTACTTTTTCACTGGTAGAACGATTCAGCGAGAAACAGAGAGAGAAGAGATGCATAGAGCCAACCTATGCGCGTGTATGTATGTAACATGTAGGGAAATGGAAGCACTGGTTTTAGAACGAAACAAATGCTCCGAAATAGTAGAATCATTGGTCGGCCTCATACATTGACATTGTAGGACCATGGGAACAGCACGGTGGCCGTCCACTCGTACGAACATGAACGCTGGAGACGTGTCCCGACAGGTACGGAATGAGTTGCAGCTTGGTGTGTGTCGGGCTTCAAGGCTGATATCACGGTCGCGACATGCAGGGGAGGGAGAATGACACGCACAGACAAGGCAGAATGGTTGACACTCTTTGGGGGTGGTTTTCTGTGTGCCTTCGGGAACGATGATGAATGAACGCTGCTGACATTACTGTATGCCTCTTGCTTCACCCGTCACTGCGTGAGCCCAACGGCTAGCCCCCAATAGCTCGCCAGCCTCTCAACACCACGCATGCTATATTGCTGTACAAAGGTTTTGGAACCCCAACACTCCGTGCCCTCCCTGGCTCGTTCATTCGTCGTCCTCGTCGTCATCGACAATGACGCGCCTCTTCTTTCTGCTCTGGGGACTCCCCCTCGGCTCGTCGGCAGCGGCGTCTCCATCATTGTCGTCGTCGTCGTCGTCTTCCGCGGCGCGCTTCGGCGTCGAACTTCTGTCGCGGTCTCGGTCCCGAATGTCTCGATTGCCCCCCCTGGTCCGTCCTTCCATGACCGTTTCCCTTCCCTCAATCTCCAGGTCGTCCACGTCCGGGTCGTCGTCGTCTTCCGCGTCGACTTCATCACCTCCACCTTCGTCGTCATACACCTCGGGCTCCTCGTCACTCGCGGCGAGGAAGTCGTCTTCGCGGTCGTACTCGTCTTCCCGTCCGCGGCCGCGCGGGAGGTCTTCGTCCTCGTCGTCGGAGTAGATCTCTCCGCGACGATTCGTCTTGCGTCGTCGCGCTTGGCTCTTTGTGCCTCGGGCCATGGGCATGCCTTCGTCGTCTTCGAGACCCTGGATGCTCAGGCCAGCACTTCGTCCGCCGAGACCGGAGCGGTGTAGGACACGGTCTTTGCGGAGAAGGAGCCTGTCCTGCGCATTCTCCACCTTGCGAGCATTGCGGGCTTTCTGTTTCTCAAACTCCTCGGCCTCCTTCTTGCGCTTCTCGGGGTCTTTGTTGATGATTTTGAAGCTCGACAGAGGATCGTGCATCTGTGTCGCCGCAGCGAGGGACTGTTGGAGCTTCAGGACCGACTCGTCGGCAATGTCGCCTGTGGGCTGGACCTTCATCGACGCGTCAAACGGGGCGACAATCTGGATGTCTACGCCGACGGCGGCTTGAGGGGCTGCAAGATAATTGTGGGTATCTTTGTTTGGGTCGTAGTCTGGTTGAGACGAGCCGGGCTTCTTAGGCCAGCCTTGTCTCAAAGCAGTGGTTGAGATGCGGTAGTGGTCTTTCGGGGCGGAAGCGATCTGAAGAGTCAAGCTGCCATCGGACCAGCGTATGACGCGTGAATTTGATTGAAGAAGGCTGGGGGTTTTTGGGTCTCGGCGCCAGAAGACGGTGCTGGCTGCGGTAGAAAAGGGGGAGAATTTGGTGGCCGAATCGACCGCCGGTTCCCTGCCGTCGTGATGCTTCTCCGGAGGCTCGTACGTTGCGGGGTTGAAATTCTTGTGTTTGACGCCTAGGAATTCTGGCATGTTCAAAAGATACAATTCTTCTCCCTGAGGCGGCTTGACCCGTGACATGTCGATGTTCATCAGCTTCAGAGCCTTCTGCTCCGGGGTTGAGTACTCGGCGCCCTCGACCGTTTCCGCAATCCGGTCGTTACGCCCTTCATCGTCGCCGGAATCGAGTTCGGAGTCATCTAGTTTCCTATTTGTCCTGTCGACGAGATCAGTGAGCGCCCAAGTGGGTGGTGAAGGTGCAAGACCTACTCGTTGGCCATGTCAGATCCTTCATCGTCGTCGCCAAAGAGATCGCCATCGTCGGACGCGTCTGCCCCATCCAAAACATCTTGATGATCCTGAGCCTCGGGCCGACTGTTTGAGTGGGCGCTTTCCACGTCCGAGGACATCTCGAGATTTGTGGGTAGGTAGAACAGCGAAGAATCTCGTCTCGAATGTGTCTTGCAAAAGGTAACTCCAAGACGTGTTGACGCAGAGGAGGTAGACTTCGCGAAGGTCAAGGTAGCCGATTCAGTGGGAAGCTCTAACGGCTAAAGACCCCAGGATCACGAGGAAGACATAGAGTGGCAGATATTACCAAGAGAGCGGGTTTCAAACAGTGTTGCCGTATTGTAGAGCATGAGCATTCATGTTGGCTTCGTGAATTCAATCCTTTGCGGATTCGGCTAAATTTCCCCAAACAGTTGAGTCTCTCGGCTAACTTTCTTCCCCAGGCGCAGGCGCCCTTACTGCAAGTCACTAGTGTCAACTCCTGTATCAATACGTCCTTCACTTTCAAGTACAGTAACACCACACTCCTTTTCTCGAAGACAGCAGAGATTGTGGGATACCTGTGGTTGGAAAAGACCACACTTGTTCTAGAACGCTTCTAGCACAATGGCGACGTTCTTTCAGAGCGTGTACGTATCTTTCTTTTCTCTGTTCTCTCGCTTGACTCCTGCACCGCTTGTTTCTCCCAGCCGCCGATGATCTGCCCCCTGTATTTCCCCCAAGAACGCGATCGTGGAGTGGAGATTAACTACCCAGTGTTCTCAAGCCCGTTCATAAAGCTGACCATGTCCCCAGCCGTCAAGGTTTCACAAGAGGCAACACCAAGAGCAATCAGAACCTCAAGGCGCAATATAACGGCTCTCAATCACCTAGCCTTCAACAAGCGCCTCCTATGCCTACTATGCCCAATTCACCTTCTCCGTCCTCCAACTTTAGTCAAGAGGGGATCTATCAAGAACAAGAACCGAAGAAGTTTATGAACGAAAAATATGCAAAGTGCTCGGTGAAGGGCAACTTCCTCACTCTTGCTGCACAGCCGAAGAATGTCGAATTAGGGGAGTGGCTGGCCCACCAATGTAGGCATTGTTCTGCCGGTCATGGGACGCGCATAGTAACATCTTTTTGCAGTGGTAGAAATGAACAGACTCCTTACCGCCATGATCCAAGTCATTCAAGAAGCAGATTCCAACACTGGCGTGCCGTTGTGCAATGAAGTCGGCTGCCCCACAATGTCGGCTGGACGGTATGTGAACACTGTTCAAGGAAAGGCAAGAGCTGATTGTCGAAAGACTTACTTACACCTGGCTCGAAAATGGTCGACCAGCCAAGATCCCCGCACCTTCGTATATCGTTCGAGTTCAGAGGTGGATAGTTGGCAAGATTCATGATGAGAAGACCTTCCCAACCACCCCACCTCCAAATGTTGCCAACACTGCCTTCGCGTCTGGAGATGTTGATTCAACACCAAATTCAGCACAAACCCCCATCGCGGCCGGTCCGACAAATCTCAACCAATCCTTGACTGCCCTGGCTGGAACTCAGAATGAATGGATTGGCAAGTCGTCAGGCTTCCCTCAGCACTATCACCAAGATGTCAAGAGCATCATCAAACAGATGTTCCGATGCTATGCTCATCTGTACCACAACCACTGGGACAATCCGTTCTGGCACATCAATCGCCATTTGGAACTGAACAGTTGTTTCGTGCACTTCATCACGGTGGCAATGTACTACGACTTGTTGCCAAAGAAGGACATGGAACCTCTACAAGATCTCATTGACATCTTCATCAGCCAAGGCGTTGTGCCCAAGGAAGCCGTGCAACAGCATGTCAGCTAGACTATCAGCAATTGCCAGAAAATTGTTCAATGAAATGTTTCAGTCACGACGATCGATCAAGGAATCATATGACGTCTACGGCAAGGCCACGAAAGCAAGTGCATGCATTTTAGCGATGATCAGGGCGTTCTTGAGGCAAGGGCAATGAATTCAATGGCCTAGTATACATGGCCGCAAAAATCAAAAATTGATGTGGTTGTGGTATGGGTATCCAGAAAAGAGAAAGCATACTATATAAGCTGCGTCACGATTGTGAGCTCTGGCAGACATAAGTAGGTCATGTACCTCACGTTGTTGCATCTGCTGCGACAGTCTATCTATTGAAAAGGTGGCGACTTCGGGAGAATGAGCAAAGTTTCGGTGGTGATACTTGATACCTGAATAGATTTTCACGCAGAACAATCAAGTCCAATCGTACGTCGGCGAACAAGGCTTGCAGTGCAACCTTTTGACTATCTTGTCTACATGTATGCCTGGCACGATAAACTTAACCTGTCTCACGAAGGTCTAAACCCAGCTCACGTTCCCTATTAGTGGGTGAACAATCCAACGCTTACCGAATTCTGCTTCGGTATGATAGGAAGAGCCGACATCGAAGGATCAAAAAGCAACGTCGCTATGAACGCTTGGCTGCCACAAGCCAGTTCCTTACTACCCAGCGACCTTTGAAACGCGCGCCGTAGAGCCTCGCGCAGGAGAACATCAACTCTTGACCACGACCGGCGGGAATCGTTCCAGGTTCGCCTCCTACCTTCGGGCTGGTGCATCGCCGTAGGATAGGCACCTTCTGGCGGGAGTAGATCCCCTTGGAATCAGAATGCCCCTTGGCCAAAATCCAAGCACACTGGCCTTGCCGACGGTGTGCCATGTACCTCACATATCGCGCGAAAGACGAAGCCGCACCCGGAGCATTTTGGGCAAGATCGCAGACATGAAGGGCGGGGGTTACATGCTACGGACGAAGGTGGGTCTATATCAGAAACGTCGAGCATCAAAATCTGAGAGTTTCATCTTCCTTATTTTTATTTGAAACCTATGCGCTTGCTTCCAGTACGTGTGGCGGAAGATCCCGTCGACAGGCCGAACCATATACCTACTCCGTACTTATCAACGCCATAAAGACTCATTTGCCGCTTCACTCATAAAAGAGAAGACGGTGCCAGCCTCTGAAAGAGACGTTTAGCAGCAGCCATCGGCTCTTCACTCGGCATTCCCGCTTGACCGCGTGGTTCTCTTGGTCACTTCCGCCTTGACCGTCTCGGCACCGCTGGAGGCAGCGTCGGCAGCCTTGTCCTTGGCGTCAACGGCAGCTTCCTTGGCCTTTTGGGCACTCTTTTTGATGTCGTCCTTGCTAGGGGCAGCAGCGCCACCCATGCCGGCCAAACTGGAGACGATGGCGATGAGAAGGACAAGGGCTCCACCGATGCTGCCAGCAACCTCGGGCATGAACTTAATCGCCTCGATTGGGTCCTTCTTGGCCAGGGTGATGAACAGCTCGAGCTTCTCCTTGACGAATGTAACCGGGTCATCCATAAAACTGAGGTCCGAGGGAGACTTGGGAGACTCTGACGGCTTAGGCTTGGTCTTTTCCTCCTCGGCTTCCTCGATCGGTCGCTTGACATCGTATGTTTCGACACGGAACGCGGCAGCATCTTCAACGGAGTGTCCAATGTAAATGTTGTCAAAGGTGATGTCGGACTGCATGGTCCAGATCTCGAAGCCAATCTAGGATGTGTCAGTAAAAATGTAGCAGGAGTAGGGCTGATGGATAGCACTCACAGCTCCAATGGGCTCAAAGTTGGATGGGGTCTTGTCTTCGAAGTAATCCGGATTGGGAATCTTGCGAGGTGCCCATGGACCCTTGTAGTCTGGGTTCTCAATGTATGGTGCGGTCCACTTGCCCTTGTAGAGAGGATTCTTGACCATTGGTGGCTCCCATTTGCCGCATCCAGACACTTCTTCGCACTTGGGGTTAGGAACTTGTGGAGGGATCCAGTCACCGTCTTCTTCATCGTCCCAGTCTTCGGGCTTCTCTGCTTCTGGATCTGGGATCATGGTGGGCTCGTCCTCGAGCCAGTCTTCAGGCTTCTCGGCTTCCTCGTCCACGACCTCGTATGGCTGCTCCTCATCCCAATCTTCTGGCTTGGTCGCGGCAGGGTCTGGGATACGGGCTTGTTCAACCCAATCATCAGGTTTCTTGTCCTTGGGGTCGTCGATCTCTTTCTCTGGGTTGACTGAAGGAGAGAAGTCTTCGAGGAGGCTGCCAGATTTGACCGAATTGTTGTCAATTAGCATTTCGAACGTGTTGTCGGGATTGACAATCAAAGTATAGAGGTGGGTAAGTTTGTCGTTCTTCGCCTGTGGAGGGCTCGTGAGATGCTTCTCCTCGTACTCGCCAGTCTTCGGGTTCTTGTGTTTGAAGATGAAGTGGACCTGTAAGGGTACATAAGTAAGTCGCAGCCACCCATAGTCATGCATTGACCCTTACCTTGTTGGTAGCACCACACTTGTCAGGGCCAAACATGATCACATAGGGTGACGTGTTAGAAAACTCCTCCGCGTGCAACTTCTTGTTCTCTTTCAGGAGCTTCATGTAGGCACCACCGCATTCCAGGCCATTCTGAAGTTTCACCTCGTATTGTACGACCAGCGTCTTGCCCTTGTTATCAATGACAGAGGGAAATTTGGCGGAGATGGCATGGTGTGCGGCTGCGTTCTTGACGACCAACCCCTTGTCGCCCACAATACCGGGCAGGACAGATGGCTCTTCAACAGACCACTCCCCAACATAAGCCCAGTCCTCATCGCTCTTGGAGTCTTCCTTTTTCGCATGCGAGGGTGTCCATCTCAAGTCCCAGTCGTCGGTAAACTGTTCCAGAAAGGGGGCTTTAAGGCTTGTGGGCTACTATCTTGTCAGATTCTGTCTTGAATCGGCTCCAGATGCGTTCGACTTACCGTGAAGATGGGCCTCTCAGCGACACTGGATGAGGGTGCGGCCTCTTCCTGCGCCAACGTGGTGCCGACGAGCAGGGCCGACGCATAGAGAGCCGGAGCGATAGCTGCGTTGAGCTTCATAACGGGCACACCGTGTGGAAAATTGGGGACAAACAAGTGATGTAGGTCCGAAGGAAGATTTGACAGTGGAGAGGAATAGATCAGAGAGAGAAGGAAATGCCAGTGCAGCCGATATATTTTGAGGTTTTGACGGTGAAAGAAAGGTGTCCTTTACAATATCTCCACACAGAGGTGACGCTAATCACCCGTACGAAACGAGTACAATACCTCACATTGGACACGGAATTGGGGGCTGCCCCCCTCACTGGTGCCCACTACAACTACTGTGAGCAGGTACCTAGTTGCCCTATAGCGCACCTAACCCTTAGGAACCTGGGATCTTAGTTAGTAGTGCCTAATCTAGGCAGATAACACCTTAGCCTCGTGAGGCTTACTCCGTACGGTATCCGTGTCCAATAGGTACTCGTACTCCGTACTCGCCTTCACTATGTGCACAAAAAATACTTCCTACAGGAGTAAAAGTGTCTTCGCGCGTGGGACCGGCTTCATTCTCCTCTTTTCAATTTTCACTGCCATCCTCCTAATCTACAGGGTTTTGATGGTTGCAAAGAGCCTGTCGCAATGTCTAGTGAGAACAATGACCACCTGGTGCAATCTACTGATCCAGAGCATCCAGCCAACTTGATTCCGGCGCTATGCAAACAATTTTATACTCTTGGTAAGGGTAGTAGGTGCTCGTTCTCTATCGGATACTAATTCCTCCAAGGATGGGTCACTGGCACTGGAGGAGGCACTAGCATTCGGAAAGATGACCATGTCTTCATTGCGCCCTCGGGAGTCCAAAAGGAACTGATGAAGCCTGAGAATATTTTCGTGCTCTCTTACCCAACCCCAAAATATCCACCCTCTGCACGACAATATATCCGGAAACCCATCGATCTCAAACCATCAGCATGCACGCCTTTGTTTCTTGCTGCCTTCGAGCGCGGCGCTGGCTGTTGCATTCATACACATTCTCAATGGGCTGTGCTTGTCACCCTGCTTGTCGAGAAGATGTCAGGAACAGCGGCATGTTTCGAGATCAGCAACATTGAACAGATCAAAGGCATCCCCAAAGGTCCAGGGAAGGGCATGCTCGGCTTTCACGATACCATGAGGATACCAATCATCGAAAACACTCCTTTCGAGGAGGATTTGACCGAGCACTTGGAAAAGGCAATGGAACAGCATCCTGACACTTGCGCCGTATTAGTTCGCCGTCATGGAATGTTGGTCATTTCACCCTCCTATGAAGATTGCCTGCTGACAATGTTTCCAGATATGTCTGGGGTGACAATGTCGCCAAAGCCAAAACTCAGTGTGAAAGCCTAGATTATCTCTTCCAGCTAGCAGTCGAAATGCATAAGCTGGGGCTGCCTTGGACTTGATTGACCTCGTCACGAATTCTCGAGCCTAGGGGAAGATATGCTTCTCGCTTGTATTTTTGCTCATTGTTGGTTTCGATGAGAAGAGCATCCTTGAAGATTTAGAATAGATTGCTTTGGCCTGCGTCCTTATTTCGTTGTTGCTTTCTCTGAATGCATCAATCAGTCTGCACTCTGGACATATACTACCAGGTATCCGTACATAAGCGAAAATCGTATTCGCCGCCAGAAACACTGCCCCTCGCTTCCCCTCCCTAAGCGAAGTTCATTGCATAATGGAGTGGACCAGTTTCATGTTATCCAGATCAATTGAACTATTAACTCCAGCCCATACTACGTGGTACAGCCCATTAGCTTCACCAGATCGGCAATGTCGACAAATTCAACCTCAGCAGCACCCCAGTCGGCAGCAGCATCGTCGGCCCAACGAACAGCCGAGGCCAAAAGAGCATTCGCGGCGTCTCTGGCCGCCGCGGGTTCGAGTCTCGATGCCGAGTTGGAAGCTCGCGCGAAGACAATCCACTCGAATGCCAAAGCATTATCGGAGCAAGAAGATCAGCTTCGCAAAAAATCGGCGGCCGTGGCTAAAGATGCCGATTCTCTAGAGAAGCTCTTGAAAAAGACCAAGGATACAATGGAGGGTTTCGGTGATCTAGGTAGTATGTTGGCTGACCTGGAGGCTGACATGGTCACTATGGAGGAAACTCTGCGCCTAGCTGAGGAAACCGAGCAGGAGACCCAAAATAACGAGTACCAGGATGCACCGTGATATGTCCACGTATGAAGGATGGGGCACTGCGCAAGCATTTACGACTTCAGACGATAACTCCTTGAATTAATGAGACATTTCTGAATAACTTGAATATCTTGATGAGTTATCAGTGGGAATATATCATGGTGATTTCGACGTAGAGGCCGCATTGGCGGTGGTGGTTTTGTTAGGTGTTTTAAATACGTTGCGTGAGGATAAGGTATACTGCGGAATTTGTTTTAATCTGGCAAGCCTTCTACTGACACTAATGGAAATATTCTTCTCTGTTATCACGACGAACAAGAAGCGACGACTTGAATATCTTCTGCCATGTCCAGCCATGCGCCTGCTACTGCGTACTATAACGTGTCCATCTTCTGATTCATCACCACAATGGCCACAGTGTGGGATGAATTGGTGCCCTCAAACAACCTACAGCCTTGCCTCGTAACCGCAGCCTTGTCCACTTTGCACTGGAATGACGTCGTGTGAGTGCCATTTGTGCAACAGCCAATCGGTGCTCAGTCGATCCTCCGCAGGCAGGACCATCAACACTGCCGCCTCACCTGCTCGAACCCGTAGAGTGATCTCGGAAGCACTTTCGCATGCCTATCAATAAGCTACACGAAGAGCGCCCCCGATGCTTGAGGCATTCACGGCTCAGCCAATAATTGAGCTGAAACAAAGGGACAAATCCAAGATCGAATCGATCCTGTCCCACAGCGATCAACTACTCATCGGCCTAAACACTGGCTCCCTTCGTATCTATCGTGTCAAAAGCTCTCCGCCCAGCAGCACTGCAGATGGATCTACAGATCCGAGTGCATTAAATCCCGATGACCGTCCTTCTACGTCGAAATCGACCGAGCTCCTTAGAGAATACGAGAAGTTCTCGAAGTATAAGATAGAACAACTCGCTGTTTTCAGAGAGGCAAACATACTTCTGTCATTGAGCAATGGACTTGTCTCAATACATGACCTGGGGACCTTCGAGTTGCAAGAACAATTGACAAACACAAAAGGCGCTACTCTCTTTGCAGCTACAAGCAATATCGTGAAGGATTCTACAACGGGAGTGCCCACCTTGGTGAGTAAACTGGCTGTCGCTGTGAAGCGGAGACTGCTGTTGTGGTCGTGGCATGATGGCGAACTCGATGGTGATGCTGTTGAGGTATCGCTATCACACAGCATCAAGTCGTTGACATGGGCCTCCGGGACGAAGATTGTGGCTGGCTTGAGTTCGCATTACGTTCTGTTGCACACAGATTCTCGAGATATCACAACGATTGTTGGGCCTGGAAGTATCGGAGGTGCTCCGGGGCAAGAGGCAAGTAGGCTGGGAGGGACAATGAGCTACATCGGAATGGGAGGCATGCTTCCAACGCCTTTAGCGACGGGGCTTGGGGACAATGAGATGTTGTTGGCACGAGACATCAATACACACTTCATTGATCGGGATGGTGAGCCTATAGGCAGACGGCAGATACCATGGCGAAGCCCTCCACAAGCCATTGGATACTCTTATCCGTATCTTCTGGCTTTGCAAGAAGCCAGCAAAGGATCCCTTGAGGTACGAAACCCCAAGACACTTACATTGCTTCAATCCATAGACCTGCCAGGCGCTGTGCTGCTTCAGGTACCAAACCCCAACATCAGTCTCGCGCATCAAGGAAAGGGTTTTCTAGTCGCAAGCGAACGCATTGTGTGGAGAATGCAAGGCATCAACTATGATACTCAGATCGATTCATTGGTCGACAATGGAGATCTCGACGAGGCTATCTGTCTGTTAGAGATGATCGAGGAGACTCTCATCAAGGACAAAGCTGCTCGCCTACGAGAGGTTAAAATGCAAAAGGCACAGCGTTTGTTCGACGAAAAGAAATTCAGGGACGCTTTGGATTTGTTTGGCGAAGTCTCTGCGCCACCGGAAAGGGTCATTAAACTGTACCCTCCGGTCATAGCTGGAGAATTATCACTGGACTCATGTAAAGACGATGGTAATAACCAGAAATCAAAGAAAATTGAGTCGACGACCAGTCCGACGAAGAAGCCCAAAGCTGCACCTTCTGAAGCCGATACGGAGAGCATCAGAAGTGTGAGGACGATGGAGCATGCGAGTAACCAAGGATTGTCTGAAAAAGAACTCAAGACTGCAGTTCGTGAACTCCAAGCTTTTCTTGCCGATGTTCGTCGGAGGCTACAAAGGTTCTTCAACCCGGACCAGACAATTCGCACCCTTTCGGAAGTGCAAGGCAGTATGCAAGCCGAAGATATTCGACGGGTTACGGATCATCTCCTCGGTATCCCTACTCTGGATGATGTTGATTTCCGAGAGAAGCTCTTGGCCGTCGCTACACTGGTGGACACGACCCTCTTCAGGGCACATATGTATGCTACGCCGTCACTGGCAGGTTCATTGTTCCGAATCACAAACTTCTGCGACCCAGACGTTGTTATGGCTAAGCTTGAGGAGACAGAGCGATACAATGACCTAATCGAATTTCTGTATGGCAAGCGACTCCATCGGAAAGCGCTGGAAAGACTTCAGAGATTTGGCAAGGCCGGACATACTGAAGATGTCGACCCTCAACTACACGGACCTGCAAGAACAGTGTCGTATCTGCAGAACCTCGGACCTTCATTCATCGACATGATCTTGAAGTTCGCACGTTGGCCTCTAGAGACCGAGCCCCAGGCGGCAATGGAAATATTTGTGGCCGACACTGAGAATGCGGAATCGTTACCACGCCATAGAGTCCTGGCTTTCCTAGAATCCATCGACAAAGGACTGGCAAGAACATATCTTGAGCATGTGGTGGATGAACTGAACGACCTGACACCTGATCTACATCAACGTCTGGTCACGCTCTATCTAGAGGAATTGACGCAAGCTCAGTCGACCAACCAGCAAGAAATCCTCGACAAGTTGTTGACTCTACTCAAGTCTTCGGAACAGTACTCTCCGGCAAAGACCTTGGGTTTGCTACCCAGAGACCAAGCGCTCTTCTACGAACCGCGAGCCATTGTGTTCTACAAGATGGGGAATCATCGGCAAGCCCTGGAAATTTATGTCTTCAAACTCCATGACCCGGCGAGGGCAGAAGAGTATTGCAACCAAGTTCATCTTGAAGAGACTATCAATGACACCAGCAAGCCTCCATCTAGGCGAAAATCGACAACAGACCCCGTTGACGAACAGCCGTCTGTTTATCATATCCTCTTGAACCTCTACCTGAACCCTCCAAAGGGGGAAAAGGCAATGTGGGGTCCGGCGATTGAATTGATGGCACGACATGGTCCCAGATTACCCGCGAGCTCGACATTGGAGATGATTCCCGAGGATTTGTTCGTGAAAGAGCTGGAATTTTACTTCCGTGGGAGGATGCGCAACGCCAACACTGTTCTGAACGACTCGATGATCTCGGCCGGTCTTAGGAAGGCGGAAGCGGTTCGCGTACAAGCTGCTCTTCTGCTCGGAGAAGGTGGCCAAACAGGGGGTAGAGGGAGGAAAGTTCGCATCGACGAAGACCGCGTCTGTGGAGTCTGCCACAAGCGACTTGGTGGCAGCGTCATCAGTGCTTTTCCCGAGTGAGTGATGTCCTGGTATCAGCTTCCAGCGCTGCGAGAACTAACGTATTTACAGCAATTCGGTTGTTCATCTTGGCTGCGCGGTCCGAAAGCAGGCCGAACTTGCAGGCAAAAGCCAGCACCGCTGATTTGCTCATTTACGCGTGAGCCATGTTATTTTGAGATACCCTGAGGTGTGATAGGAGTGCATATATTCATGCGTCGTCCTCCGCGACTTCTTCGCCATAGTTTTCCTCCTCTAGCTCCTCTTGTGTTGTCTGCAGCAAGGTTCCTCCGTTGCTCGCCCGACTCTGCGCCTGTTTATCTTCCTCCATTTTATCAGTCAAGAACTTATTGATCTCGTCTTGTAGTTTCCTGCTCGAGGCTCGTAGATCCCGCAAGTATTCAGTCTTTGCCTCTGCGCCGACTGCTCTTGAGGCGGGTTTGGCAATCACATGCTGAAAGTCGGTGGAGCCGCTCGGAGAGACGTAAGAGGCTTTCAAGACGGTGGAAGGGTGATCTGCATGCGTAGACATTGGTGCCGCAGTACCACTGGAGGCTGTCAGTGTAGAAACAGGTATCACGTCCGTCGAGAAAGATGGTCGGTCTCTGGATATCAATGAGTGGTGGAGGGAAAAGTGACTTGAAGCGCGGGGGAGAATATTTGGCTGCGGCACTAAATTCGTCATGTATCCAGAGATCCTCCGTATTCGTACTCCGTAGAGACGAACACCACCACAGACTCCATATCCACAGTACCTTCAACCACCTCCTTCAATGGCCCTCAGTTACGAGAATTTAGCAAATGCAGCAGCAGCACCAGTATATCCACCTCTCGCACGACTCACCATGAATTCAGATTCACGCCCGTATATGGCCAGTGTACGGTGACGGCGCAGGCTGTGCTTGGATTTCATCCTTGAGTGACATGCGCAGTAAACAAGGTGAGCGTCATCTGGCGAACATCGAAGAGACCAGTTCCCAAGATGCTAATCTGGTGCCGATTGCTGCACTCAGGCCATCCTCATTGCCTTCTTCGCTCAAAATGGAACCTCCACCACGTCGCATGGGGTTGCGCTCTCCTGCACCTCCTGCTTCTGTGTCTCCGAATCCCTCTTCTCGTCCAGAGTCCAAACAAAGCGACCGACCGGTTTCAAGTGGTAGTGACTCCTCCGGGTCGTCGAATTTGTCTGTCGTAAAGAGATCTCCATACAGCCAACAACTGCCGTCCTTCGTGCCTCATAACAACCACAGCAATATGTCACTATCTCAAAGGCCCTCGGCACAATACCTTAGTCGCGAAGGCGCGAGGACAAATCCGCCCTCAGAATTTCACAGACATCGTCCACGACAGCACTCCCAGGGCTACTTTGAGCCGTCGATGCCTTCCGCATCTCTGGCCAGCCAGTCTGTTCTACATGAACAGTCAGCCATGTCGACCCTCACGCCTTCCCAGATAGCCGCACAAGCCGCAATGCAGCATCTCAATGCCACCAGCCACAACCGCAAAAGGTCTCAAACTGTTCCCTTTCCACAAGAGCAGAGCCATCAGGAAAGCCGCCGAAGTAGTAGAGGCTCAAATGGCTCACACGAAGGAACACCGCAGGCTTCCACCAATGACCAACAGTATCGGAACGGTCTCATAGGGAGCAATGCGGCGGCTACGGCAGCGAGTGTAGCCTTCCCCAGGAACGTCGCCTCCTCCAGTCAGGTCTCATTGGTTGAAGAGGAGAAATCTAGGAAAGGGCTGAAACGGTTCAAGCCTAAGCACATGGTGCTGTCAAGAGATAAAGACAAAGAAGCAAGAGATAAGGCTTTACCATCACCAAGCAAGCTGGCGCCCAGTGGGTTATCCAAGGTCATGAATGCCTCAACAGCGAGTCTTGCCGACTCATTATCCTCAACCAACTCATCATTATACCAATTGGCCAACCCATCGTCAAGTACGATCGTTCCCATTCCCGAACAAAAGGACAAGTCCCATAAACATCACGGTTTGCGGCAAAAGTTGAAGTTGAAGGACAAGGATGATAGTTATGCCCTCCCTCTCTCGTCGGCAAACTCCAACTCCAGACCGGTCGACATGAACAATCCCCAGTCGCTGTATTCCTTTGCTCCATCTTCCCCTGCTCCATCCTCAACTTTCTCCAAGTCAGTGTCAGGGCTAGATCTCCGCCATGGCGGCCGCGCCTTGCGAGAGAAGAAAAAGGAGGAAAAGGCCGCATTTGCCAACCTGGAGACTGTGTACAGTCGGGGCGAAAGCGACACGTCCGAGTGGCCGTCACTGGGGACCAGTTTCACGAATCAGTCACTCACCACTTTTAGCAGTTATGCTGAAGTTAAGGAAGCTGGAGCCGACCTTGGCTTAAAGAACATGTCTGCGGATGATGCCTGGGATGCCTTGAGAGCCAAGATTCTCATCGTCTTTGAGGGAGAAGATGTTCCTGTCCCGGTAGAAAATCTGAACAAGCTCGTCACATTCCATCTCCAACGATGTGTTCAACGAAGGGATCCTAGCATTGTCATCGGAGACCTGGAAGATTTATTCAAGACGGGGTTCTTCAGCCTCAATCACACACTGCGCCAGGCTTCCGATGAAAGACTAGTCTCTCATCTTGTCAGCATGTGGATTCAAGTGTTTGGCACCATATTGCCATACATGCAAGCCGTCTTCCTCCCTCTCGACCAAGAATTCAAGGGGCGAGGCAGCATCCTGACCAGTCCCAAAATGGCCGCCGAGTTCTGGGGTGCTCTTCCCAGCGCCGAGTCGGGCAGTAAGCTTTCCTCGTCTCCAGCTTCGGGTAGCGGCGTGGACTTTGTGGTTGCTGCTGGGGAGGAATTGGAAGTTAGGCGTATTCTCCTGATTACGTTCCGAGACATCATCATTATTCCAAGGTTCGAGGTTTTGAAAGCAACATTTTCAAGATTGAGCTTGGAAAGCATCAATGTTAGCTTGGCTCAGTACGACAACCCCACACGGCATCGAGGTAACAGCGGAGGAAGTGACAGGCCTGCCACAGCTCATAGTACTGAGCAGCCTGTGTATGGAAGCTACAATTCTCAGACGAGTACCCTGCTGGGCAGCGCTACTTCAGGTGGAAGATCTCGTGCAACGTCCAACTTGTCCGCGACCAGCAACCCTGCGCAAGATGTTGCGTTTCAATCCTTCAGTTCCCCACCAGCAGCAAGACCATCAGATACGTCCTCAGCTCAAGTGACGGAAACCGTTGGCCGGATGCTGCAGTGCCTCTCAGTTCTCTGCTCGATACAATCTGGTGACGACGGGCAAGGGAAGATGGAAGAGCTTAACAGACAGCTGAAATTGAACTGGCTCGGTCGTGGTCGGACGGGTAGAAATAGAAAGGGATTCGTCGGAAGCAGAGTCAGACCTATGGCCAGTGGAGCCTCCACCATGCGAGGTTTGGATCGTGACGGAAGCCCGACGCCTACTCCTACTCGGCAAGGGACTGTCAGCAGGCAAGGTTACGAGCACAGCTGATAGTATTGGATTCTATGACCGAAAATACAGACACGGCTGTGCGTGTATGTCCTTGATCGTTTCTCCGTCCGATGAGAGGGTGTAATGTGATATGATACGTTCATGACCTTTTTGACTGCTGAGATCTCTTTGCAGACATAACATCCCCAGTCGAGCACATTATGCTCATCTCGACTTGTTTCTCTAGAAGATGCGTTGTGCTGCTGGTTGTTCATCGTTGACCGCCATGTCTTGTTCTATGCAAGTTCAAACATCACTGATGCCGCTCTGCGTGAATCAAGGGGCACTTTTCCTGAACCTCGATCTTGCATTCGGATTTACATTCCTTCGACAATGATGCTGCACGTCGCTGGTGAGGATGCCGTCTGGAATACGAATACGAGGCGCACCTTGGTCCCATCCCCCGCATAACGTTATATCTGTCTCCGCCGACGACCCGCCGTCTCTTCCAGTCCAAGTACTCTTAAACATCTCAGCGTCCACGAGCCGACTCTTTGAGTTAAGTTTCCTTCTCTTTTCATTCCGGTCCGTAATATTCCCCATTTTCTGCGGAGTGTTCAAGTTCTTCTACTTTCAAAGAGGTGAGCTGGGACGTTACATACCCGGACCTTCTCAATAGGCGCGTCAATGGCGACGAGAAATCGACAAAGCAAGAGAAAAGCGGACGCTTTGAATGTCCCACAGGTCGGCGAAGATGCGGCGGAGAGGAAACGAGTGTTGAACGTGCTCGCCCAGAGACGGTACCGACAGAGACGCAAAGAGCACATGGAGAAACTCGAGGCCCAGGTCGAGTCGATTGCGACCTCGACGGAGGAACCGGGATGGAGCGCAATGCCCGACACGACACAGCAAGATCAGATCTTTTATGAAGAGAGGAAGGGAAGAAGAAACGGGCCGACTCTGACCAAGTTCTCTACGGGTTCGTACGACGATTCCCCAGAGACCAGAAGCAGTACAGGGATCCTACTGGATGCCGACGACGGCGGTGAGGTTGAGATTTGTGGCGGTGGCGGCGGCGACGACCTGGACTTTGCACCATTTCTACCCATCCACATGCAGCCTGACGTGCTGCCAAACGAAAGTCAAATCTTTGTGGTGGACGAAGGGGGACAGGAAGCGAGAGGAGCAAAAGGGAACGAGACGGCCAAGGACATTTTTGCGACTTTTGACGAGCATCACCTCCACCACAACCATCAACAACTTCTCATCACAGACCATCATCAATACTTTTTCGCACCATCAACGTTATCATCGTCATCATCAACAACGACTCCGTTGATACTCCCGTCCCTAGACAGCCCTTCTACTACCACCTCTGACGGTACCACCACCATCACCACGCATCATCCCTCGTCTGTCATTGTCGAGAATCCAGCTGCTCCTCATTGGTCCTCTTTAGTCGGGTCTTTTGGTCCTTTACCTGGCGACTTTGAAAAGGATTCGACGAACGACGCCGAGGGTTTCCATTTCCCTCGGGACCTTTCCATCTCGTCGACAATAGTCGCCAACCACACGGCTACGCCTGCCGGTCCGGTCATCCAACAACACCCCACGACGACGACGACGACGACGACAACCTTCCCGGACGACATGCACCTTCAGGTCCCCGAACTCGCCTTGCTCCGTGGTTGCATGTCCATCGCGCAACGTTTACAGATTCAAGATCTGATATGGTCATTGACGTCGGAATCTCCTTTTCCTCTTTCGTCGGCCACCCCAACGACGATGGACGCAGCGACAGTGTCTGGCAACGGCCGCAGCCTCGGAAGTTCGCCCACCACCACCTCCACCTCCACAGCAATTCTATACGGTCATCTACCCCCCAACCTACGTCCCACGGCGGCTCAGCTCAGCATTCCTCACCATCCGGCCATCGATCTCCTTCCTTGGCCGAGTGTCAGAGACAGGCTCATTCACGTCCTGGCTCAACCGATCGAGTACCGACCTTTGGGTGCCAAATCCCCCACGGCCCTGGTGGATTTCGTCTACGACATCGAAGACCCGGCCGAGGGTGTACGGATAACGGGTTCGGACCCTCAGGACCCTCGAAACTGGGAGGTCGGCGAAAAGGTCTTCCGGGGTTGGTGGTGGTGCTTCGATCGGGAAATCGTCAAGCGGACGAACGAACTGAGAAGGGCGAGAGGTGTCTCCTCGCCTTTGGGGGTCGTCGGTGGTAGTACCACCGTGGGGACGGGGGCCGGGAGGGGGAGTGTTGTTGATGTTGTTGACGACCATCTCACTTGACGGGATTTTGAATGTCCATGGGATTTCACTGTCGGGCATCTGCAGAGATACAGTGACAAATAAAGACCGACCAACCAGGCCCCAGGCATCAGCGAAATATACCATGCGTACCGATCTGTCAAGGAAAAAACACTATTGTATTACGCAACGTCTTGGGGGCCACTGAATCTGATGTACAATACCTCTCCCTCCCCCCCTCGAGGACATTGCGTCGATGGGAACACCTCCCAAAAGGGTTCGAACATGTAAATACACACTCAGAAATGCCGTCATCATTTTCATGATTTACCGTGCCCAATCCAGACCTTACAGCCGAATTTGATTTGCTCATCGCTTGTGATCATACAGGAGCAGAGGCTGCATGGTAGGAGCACAGTTGGATTCACTTGCATTGTACCCGGCAGACGTGGTTGTATGTAACAATATATTATATTCTCAAGCGAGACTCCACAGTCATCACCAATGTTCTATTCGTCATTAATCAGTCACTGTCCCCCAAGAGTCCAACAGTCAAGCCTTTCATCCTTCTCTTGAGGAGATCTTCTTCGCTGCCCAAAGACACCAAACTCTTGTTCCGGCTAACCTCGGGTCTAGATTTCTCTGTTGTATCACGCCCACGTTCTCCTGCAGAGTCTTTGGCTGCGCCGTTGACTTTTTGAGGAGACGACCGTCTGGCGTCTTCGGATTTGATGGACGACATGACCAGCGGAGCGTCGTCATCCATGCTCTCACCCGTTGGAGTTCGATAATGATGCCTCGGCTGCGTCGAGGCCAGTTCAAGGCTGCTGTGGGAATCATGCGTAAGCGTCCCATTTCTCAGCCTCGACTCTATGGCCGGACCTTCGAAAGCATGTGGTGGCTTGGAAAAAATGTCTTGGATCCACTGTCCGCAGCGGAAGATGTGTCTCCAGCCCTCTGGAAAGACAGAGACAAACTGGACAAATCCGTGTGAAATGCCTGGAATGAGAGCCACTTCAACATGATCTTTCTCGTTGAACTCTGCAGTAGATTTCTCGAGACCGACTTCTTGCCGCTCACGAAAAAGGTGTAGCTTCGCCTGTCGAATCCTACCGGCGAAAATGACCGTGTCATCCACGAGAGGATCACGCTCTCCGGTACAGAAGTATGTCTTTGGAAATTTCGCAAGGAGGCTTTCAGGAGCCACGGCCGGGCACAAGAGATGATCAGTCGTGAAATCAGGACGATTGTACGGCCCAACGTAGAGTATGATCATGGCGCGCATCATTTCGGGGGTGAGGATGCGATCGCCGAAATATGAGATGATGGACGAGACAGCCAATCTCGTCTTGAGATGCTGGGGTTTCGATTCGGCCACAGTCTGTTTCTGTGCATCAACATCGGTATTTCGCCTGCTCAACTCATGGTCTGCCTTCAGGGTGTCTTCTCTTGGTGCGAAGAAGTCAAAGTTTGGATCACCTTCACCATCATCCGAAGGTTTGGGTGTCGATGGTGTATAACGTCGATCGATATCTTCACTTTTTCTTTTGATAAAAGTTTCGTACTTCTTGGCCGTTCGTGGATTTCGGATTAAGGCCATTTGATCGTCGGTCATCCAGCTGCTGATGTTCATGTCCAAAGCAGGATACAGCAAGACCAAACCAGCTGGACAAGGAAGAATTCCTCGAGCACTTCCGCTTTGATTCGACTGGATCACCATCAAGGTCGTTCCTGTAGCCAAGTTGCCTCCCGCGCTATCACCGGCAAGTACAATCCTCGGACAAGTTGCGGGCTTCATACCTATACATCGTCCCCTTGTAGCGATAATCTGCGTGTATACATCGAAGCATTCGTTCAACGCGTATGGGTAGGGATATTCAGGAGCCTTGCGGTAGTCTAGGCTGAGAATGGGCAGTCCTGTCCTTCCTGCCCAGGCAAGCAATCTATCGTCACTTGTCCTTGGATCCATGGCCACAAACCCTCCGCCGGGAATGTCGAGAACCACATTCTCTTGTTTTTCGAGCTCAGCCAGCGTGCCGTCAAAGTACATCCATGCCACAACAGGCTCTTTATAGGTGGATTGCTTGGGTCGGGGTATTCGAATCCTTCTTGGTTTGTAGCGAGTAAATCGAGGCCGCATCACGGCGGTCAACCACCTAAGGTAGGGCGTGTTTGGTTTGTCCCAGGAGACCCTCAGATGATCCACTGTAAGGACGGCTCGTACTTTCCGCACCTTTTCATCTGCTTGCTCGGCAGCAATGAGATAGTATACGGTGAATATCATCGAGGCCAGATCTCGCAGTCCTTTGTTCCGAATCCTCATTGCAGTCCAGAAGCCGGCATCCAGCGCCGTTGTGATCCATGTTGCCCGAAAGTAGGAACGATTGTACAAATTCGCAAGCGGCTCGGGAGACTCGAGATTGCAGAGTTTCGCAAAGTTGCGACATATGTAGAGGTAGAGGAGAGTAATAACCACAGATCGCCAAGGGGTCAATCGTTTCGACAGGCGCTGGGAGAGGGCGCGAATCGCTGGAGGGCCATGTCTGTCACCCCTAGGAAGAGATGATAATGTCAGTGGGAAATCTGTCACGGTCTTTCTGCAGATCAGATCATACCTTAGCAGGTATAACGACCAGAATGAAACAACCGCAAGGACCTGGACTTTGCGGAACTGCGAAGATGGTCGCCCCAGAACATGATCTGTTCCACATGGAGGGATGAGGTCAGTACATGTGAAGTAGGATCGATATCAGAGTATGTCTCCAAACATACCTATCATAGTTGTCGTAAAAGGCTATCCACGAGTGGACCAGAGGCTGAAAAAATGTACTCATTCGAAGTCAAGACGTCTGAAAGTAGGGTCGTAGCATGTCAAGCACAGACCGTCTGGTGCTTTGTTGTTGTTGTCGTCAGCGAGAAGGACGTAAGAAATCTCGACGACTGTGACAGAGGTGGCGTCAACGGAAGGGTTCGAGGCTGACAGAGAGAGATGAAAGGAACAAGGCCAGCCATGCCTGAGTGAAAGAGCCATTAATGGTAACAAGTAGGTAGAAACCTTTCCGACGGAGTAATGAGATGATGTTATGCGGCCGAACGAGGATGAAGACGGGATTTTTGCATGTGAAAGTCGGAGTCCGATGATATATGAGGATCAACACTGCAGCAGCCTACATAAGGTACCTAGGTATTTATTTTATCTAACCGAAACCTCAACCAAGGCACCTACCTATATCAGCTTACATCTCGTACTCCGTATCGCATCTGACCTACTCGTTAATTTACATTTCTTTCTAAATACCTGGATTCTCCCACACGACACGATATCGAATGCGAATACGAATACGAATGCGATTGCGATTGCGGGCACAAACAATACAAAAGTTTAGAGCCCAATGTTGGTACACATACCCAAGTAGCTACCAGAGTAGATAGTTGTGACTATTTCTCTGGCGTCTGTCTCGTCATAATTCATCCCAAGAAGATACTCTCACCAAATCACCTACACCCTGGATAGTGTATCTAGAGACGACAACAGGAAGAACTACAGCCCCTGTTTTCCTGCTCCGCTTGTTGTCTGTTGCGTCCCGTAGCCTCATTCATATCAACCATTACACCATTCATCTCGACATGGCGAGTCCGTGGACTGCTGAGAAGATCCTTTCTATCTTCTTCGGCCTTGCCCAAATAGAAGAGTAGTGGCACCACACCCAGTTTCATCCGTTAGTCTCCGATTCGCGGATCTTGATTCATATGAGCATGCCAGGGAATAACATTGTCCTCCCTCGAGCAAATGTTGCCTTTGTAGATGCTTCACTTTGCGTGAAGCTTTCCTGTCTTGGTGGGTGTTTCATATCATACGTGGTAGCGTTCATCTCTGCGTATTTTCTCCCTACGGAAAAGGCAAATGATCTCTGATCCAACCCGTTACGCCCCCTCCTCCAGCATGATGGTTTCTACTACTTGCACCGTCTGCACCACTTTCACCGTCATTTCTCGTGCTGTGTCGTCGAGAAGTGGATCGATGGCTCGCATGTCGCTCCAGGTTTGTTTCTGATCTCCTTCCATGGTAGGTGTGCCGGGGTGGTCTGGCCTCGCTCCGACCTTCGGGCATCGTGACGGAATTGTATCTGCTAGCTTCGGGACCGAAGCCAGTTGGGCTTGATATTGATGATCTTGCTCGGCTCGTTCGCCGCCGCCGGGAAGAGCTCGCTTGCGGTCCTTGATCAGGACTTGATATAGGTTTTCGACAGTGAGGGCAAGTGTCGTGCTCTTTCAACCACGCTGTAACACAGTCACCATGGAACCAGTGGTTGCAGGGTAGCGTTGTCACTTCATCCCCTAGCTCCACATTGTCCATGCATATTGAACACTCGGCTCGGCCTTCTGCTCCTAACATCTCTGAGTCGACTTTCTTTTTTCCCAACGATCGGATCGCTTCTTCTGATGCCGGTGGTGGCGCACCGTTCCCAAGATCCTGCTCCATGAGCTGCTCCATAACACGGTCAAAAGCTTGCTCGCCGAACACAATATCACCATGTTGGCCGGGCGAAATTAAGTGTTCTAGAAAGTCAAAGGGGCCCATCGGGGGGTTATGTGCCTGTGGATTACCGCGTTGGTTCGCTGTTGCTTCCATCGCAATGCGGTCCGACGCTGCGGTCATTGTCTGTAAAAGCATTGCAAGCATACTATTCGGGTCAGCTAGACATATCTAGTTAGAATTAGGCGCACCCACTCTTGTAGATTTCCCGTTGGGTTGTTTGCGTGAGGATTCCGGGGTTCGCCTGCCATATGGAGGCCTCCCTGAGGATGTAGATTGCCAAACATTGGGGGTACGGCTTGATTCTATTGGCAATTAATCAGTAAGCATGTTATCTAAACGTCTGCATCATCATCTTGCACCAGGATGGCCCTTACATTCATTCCCAACGAGCCACCCGTCATGAACGTCCTTGTGCTAAAAGACACTCTCCCTCCACCATTGCCACTCGTGAATTCAAACGTGGTAAAATTGTTGTGAGGATCCGGGTCGAAATTCTCGGCCCATGGGTTATGATCAAGCAAAGGTCGAAGATTAGGCAAAGAGGGAGGGGATGGTATACGATCTGGGCCAAAATCCGGCTCTGTTTCTGGGGTGAGCTGTTCCTCAGCGTCAGTATGGTCTGGCTGAAAGCTTGGATTCACTTACAATCTCGGTGAATTCGCTCTCACATCTGGGGCAGATCAGTCCGCCATGTTCACGTTCCCATTCGTTATCGCATTGGTAGCAGAAGACCCGCTCTCCCATCACTCGTCCAGAATCTGCCATTGTAGAGTGCCAGATAGGAAGGGTGGTGGCGGTAGCAAGGTTGATACTGTCAGCGGTAGTGGTAGAAGCTGAATTTAGGAATCTGGAGTGTGTTTTCGTAGTTGGTAAGGCTGCGTCATTCACCAGCGGAGCCTAGAGTTCAATCTCGATCCGGGGGAATGATAGTGCCCGCGATGCTTAGTGCCCGCAGTAGTAGCGAGAGATAGGGATGGCTTGAGCGAGGACGATCGGTTGATGGGCAATTGATAGGAGGCGACGGTCAGTACGGATTATGAAGTGGTTGTTTGATGCTGTTTGCTGAGGGTGGAGTGAGAATAATGAATTCACCGTTGACAAGCTCAAAACGACTAGCTAGAAGGGTGATGCCTGGTAATAAATGGTAGGACTGGTGAGGCTGCGATTTATCGGATTTTTATTAGGTGCCACCATGCGAGGATGGCGAAATAGTGAGCCACACGCCCAGTTGTGAAGTTGACGTATTCGTGGGCGCTTCCGACACGTAGTTTTATCGATGATGTTCTTGATTCCGTGCCTAGCTACCAAAGGCGTAATGGTAGGTAACGAATTTGTAAGAAGACCAGCTAATTATGATGTGAGGGAATATATAATATACAGAGTACCCAATCTGATTAGCTGGCGAACAATGAATGCTGGTGAATATGTCTTTGGACACAATAATCAGTCATTTAATTCACTCCGTCCGGAGCAGCAAAGTAGAATATATCATTAATTTCAGCAAAGGTACCGGAATTTTGTACAGGCCTAGCCCTTTCGACACATTCTGAGACGGTCTCGCTTCTCGGTCTAGGACATCAGAAGAACATTCGGAGACTTGGTAACCCGTTATCATTCTGGGCGAGACCACGCTCCAAGAACAACATTCTCTCGAGAGCATCATCGCCGCCGTGATCCTCTCATCATCATACTGCCCAAGATTCCCGCAGCAACAGCGACGCCTCCAACGATGGCGATCCCCATCAATCCTTCCTTCGACACCCTGTCATCGATCAACTGCCTCAAGCTGCTGGCCTGCAGATTGCCAGGCTCCTTCTCCAGTAACAGATCATTGTACCTCCGTGCCTCTGCGTAGTTGCCCAACTTGTAGTTTCCCAGCGCCAGATAGTACAGGCACTCTCTTCTTCGTTCGGGAGTGGTCTTAAATATATCGGAAAGTAGTTGGACGCCGAGCTGTTGCTCGCTTCGCTGATTTGATTTGATCAAGCCCTGCACAAAGCTGTAAGTAACAAAGCCTGCCAACAAACATGCAACCTAGCATACCCAGGCATAGTTAAACTTGGTCTGTACCCCAACGTAGTCGCCTTCTTTCTCGTACTGTGCTCTGAGCACTTGTAGTTCGGCGGGTTTTAGGGGACTGCGCTTGTGTTAATGTTTGTGTTGGAGCTGCGGTGCCGGATCGCAACGAACCTCTCTGCGTCTGCAGCATCTATCGAAGTTGTCAGTGCCAGCGTCAATGAACATTTGTCGAGGCGTCGAGATAAGCTTACATGGTAAATTTGATGGCATGATTCCAAAGAACGCTGGGATTTGATTTGAGTAAGGGATGTTAATGTCCAAAAGATAATCAACGACAATAATCGAGGCGAACTATAATCCAGGCTCGTTTTTTGAAGTTTGACTGCGGAGGCGGTTGCGTTTGCCTGCTGTACATTAAATCCTCAGGGTCTGGTGGTTCACGGTAGGAAGGCTCTGTGGTGCCTGTGCACCCGTGACGTGACGTCTTACCATCCTCGTGGAGCGCCCCCAGTTAGGGTTGGTGCAGGCGGGTACCAGGTTTACATTCTAGGTACGGTAGGGGAGCCCTGCGCAGTCACTAGCCGTTGCCCAGTAAACAAACCCCATCCCAGCATAGCCTAAATAAATTCATTCCTCACCACTGAGCGTATCTTGCCTGCGCCAACAGCACCATTCGACAATCAACACCAGATCCTACAAAATGCTTCTTGACGAAGACCCTGCTGCGGTGAGTATTCCCGGTTCATATCTGCTATTGTGCCTGACCCCAGCCTACAGCTCATCCGGGCAACGGTGACCAACTTCAACATTGCGCCAGACAAAGCGGCCCTTTCGCGTGTAAATGACTCGCTTTCAACGCTACAACAATCGAGAGACCTGCGCATTCGAGATGCAGATACAGTTCTAAGAAAACTCTCACGACAATTGGCAACGCTTGAATCCCAGCGAAAGGAAGTCGTCTCTGGTCACGACAGTGGACGTCACGCGAGCGAGATTGTGCAGCTTGACACGAGGAAGTTCCGTGTTGCAAAGCAAGCTTCGGAGCTGGAAGTGGAAAGTGAGAGGTTAGAGGCCGAGCTCGAAAGACTGAAGCATCGCTTGGACGACCTGGAAGAGCAAGGGGTGGAAGGGGACGAGAATACTCGACGGGCACGGGAGGCTGATGATCCTACTATGTGAGTACTTCTGGAATCCTAGCTGATGTTATGCTGACACAAACGAGCCTCCGGTTGTGGCTGTACAGATCTCTGGGAATTATGCTGGATCAAGACGAAGCAGGCAACTATAACAAGGCAACCATTGGGAATACCAAGAAGGGAGATGTCCACGTTGTAAACATTGATCCAAAGTTCTCGAGATGGTTTTACGCAGATTACTTTTGGCAGACATTGCAAGGCTAAGATCACGCCAGGCAATTGATGGACAATGTGTATTCTTGAGCGAGGTGTTCAGGTTGGACAATGCCATGACTTCAGGATGGGAATGATATACAACGAATAATGACAGGGTTTTTTCACAACATGGCACTTCAGTATTTTAAAAATGGGTAACATGATCTGTGGTTTGCCGATATGAATGTTGCTACCACAAGAGCATTTTGGGCGGGGACTTTCCCTGGTCTTGTACTGGTCACGATATTTTTTTGTAGTAGGAACCTGCCATACTGAACAAGAGTACTTGTGGAAGCTTTGCACTGTATGGTAACATGTATCCGTACTGAGCAGCGCGAATGCCACAATATAAACAAATACCCAAGGTGGCTCCGGAGTTGAGGATACGCTAACCAAATGTAAAGTAGCTCCGGGTCCGGAAAAATAGAAGTGCCGACACTTTTCTCGACTTTCCCGTCGCAGCTTCAAGTCAATCCGAAGATTTCTAGCGAAGCCGTGTAGGTTGGGATTGGGACTTTATTACCATCTCCTCCAACCATGCGTAACAGGGCAGCAACTCGGCTGACGGTCAAGAAAAATGAAACACCGGTAAAGATTTCTTTGTCCCATAATCCTCTTCATGGGTCGTCGCTTTTAACGATAAAGTATAGAAAATCAGACAATCTTGGAGCAAATATAATCTCTTCAACCTAACCCGGCTACGAGGAGATCCTTACAGACCTCTCAACTTTTTTAAGACGAAATGGAAGTCCAAGTCTTTATCCCGAAGCTACCACGGCGAACAAGTTCGAGAGAAGCAATGGGTACGCATGTTCGACAGAAGAATCCGCTCGGTGATACCGATGAACGCACGGTACCTCGCATCCAACGACGGCTCGCGTGAGTCTGCCGGTAGAGGATCGGGTCTTGTCAGCGATCGAAATGAGCGGAACTCGTCGAGGTGGGACAGGACGAAGAAGAAGAAGGAGGTGCCATATATGCAAATGACCTATGCTCCGATGGAAAGACGACTGGACACCGCCATCTTTCGAGCACTGTTCGCGAGCAGTGCCCGACAAGCAAGGCAGTTTGTTGTACACGGAGCAGTCAAGGTGAATGGGAAGCAAGTACGTACATGAGCTCCGAGAGCGAAGATCCCAAACTTACAAGGTCGTGCAGATGCGGTACCCAGGCTACCTCCTGAACCCCGGGGACATGTTCCAGGTATTGCCAGAACGCGTCATGTACGCCACAGGCGCTCCCAAAGTCAACGAACGGGCAAAATCCGAAGACAAGCAGAACGCCGATGAAGAGGCGGCAGAGGAGATCGGCAAGGAAGAACAACAACCAGCAGCAGAACCTGAAGAGGCGGAGGCCCAGGCTGAAGAGCAGGATCCCCGCGAGGTTCTGAAAGCACTCAAATCGCAGGCACGAGCTCTCCTCGCATCTTCCAAGCAAGATTTAGGAGCGAAGCGGAAGCAAGACTTGCGCGCATTTTCCAAGTCCATCCAACGACTCCTGTCCAAGAGCAAATCCGCGTCGATCGAGACGGACAGTGCGGAAGCACAGCTGGCGGAGATCCAACAGCAACTCCAGGTCAGGAGAGAAATTAAAGCGGCAGGAGAACCCTCGTCGTCGTCACCGTCGGCCGTACAAGTCGCATCCGCCTCCGTCGAGGGTGCAGCAGAGACGCAAACGGAGACAAAGGCCGAACAACAACTCCACATGGACGACGAAGAATACAACGAGCTGCTTACGGCTCTGAGGTCCATGCAGGAGAACCCCATCGACGACTCCAAACCCTATGCCACCCCCTGGACGCCCCGGGACTACATGAGCGTGTTCGCGTTCGTCCCCCGGTTCCTGGAGGTCAACCACAAGATCTGTGCGGCCGTCTACCTGAGACACCCCGTGGCGCGGCCGGGGCTGGCCGAGGTGCCGACGCCCTTTTCGGAATACATCAACAGCTCGGCCTTCACGTGGTACCTCAGGAGGAGGTAGCAAGGCGAGAAACGAAATCCGGGAGGATTCAAGATAGAAACTGTAGTATTGTACTATATATACCTTACCTGCCTTACCTACCTAGGTAGCTTTGTGCGCTTAGCGGTTTTTTCGGCGCATAGGTCACGATTTCTCTCTCAAGGAGAGATATAAAGAGAGGAAGTAAAAAATGTATTTCACATATGCATTCGCAAAGTGTTATTCATCAGTGCCCACGGCGTGGTTTGGTCAAAAATTTTGATTTCTCCTGAAGAGAGACAATACATCCTATTTCTATCATCATCAAATCTACGGAGAACCCCTCTGTATAAAGAAGAAGTTCACAGCAAGGGGTTTGATCTATATTCAGGAGCGGCGTCGCCATTGACTTCGGGCTTTTTGGCCTGATTCTCCTTTTCGAGGGGTATCTCGTCTTCGAGTTCGGCAAGGTACTTTTCGGCCTCGAGGGCCGCTATACACCCGCTCCCGGCGCTGGTGATGGCCTGTCGGTATCTCTTGTCCTGCACGTCACCGGCGGCGAAGACACCAGGAATACTCGTGTAGCTCGTGCCGGGTTTCGTCACAATGTATCCCTCTTCGTCCGTGTCGACTTGGCCCTTGAAAATCGCCGTGGCCGGGTCGTGCCCGACAGCATAAAACAGACCGTTGGCCTCCATGACCTCCTCGGCACCGCTCTGCACGTTTTTGATCTTCAAGTGTGTCATGAGACCTCTCGGCTTATTTTCACCCTGCACTTCGACCGCGACGTGGTTGAATTTGACCGTGACTTTGGGGTTCGCCAGGAGTCTCTTCGCCATGGCCTTGGAGGCTCGCAGCTTGTCCTTGCGGACGAGCACCGTGACGTGCGAGCCGTACTTCGTCAGAAACATGGCCTCTTCGGCCGCCGAGTCTCCTCCGCCGATGACCGCCAGCGGCTTGTTTCTGAAGATGGGGACCGCCCCGTCACAGACCGCACACGCCGAGATTCCGTTTTGCCAATACGTCTCTTCGCCTGGCAGGGCCAGCCTCCTGGCGTTGGCTCCCGTGGCGATGATGACGGCGTCGGCGGTGTGGGCTGGTTCGTCTGCCTCACCGTCCTCGTACTCGCGCCACAGTTTGAAGGGTCGTTGGTTCAGGTCGACCTTCGTTATCGTCTCAGTGATGATCTCGGTGCCGAACCGTTCACTCTGTGCCCTCATCTGATCCATGAGCTCCGAGCCGCCAATCCCCTGTGCGAAGCCGGGGTAGTTTTCAATGTCGGTCGTCGTGGTCAGTTGCCCCCCTGCCGCGGTGCCACCCGCCAACATGCCTTCGTACATGACCGGCTTGAGTTCTGCGCGGGAGAGGTAGATGGCCGCGGTGTGGGCGGCAGGCCCTGAGCCGATGATGGCCACTTTTGTGTGAGGTGGAGGCGCCATGGCGCTGGTGAGGGTCGACGAAATCGAACGCGCCGTGGAGGGTGCTTGTTGAGACTTTTGCTGGAAGGTCGAGGTCGCTGCCACGGTAAGACTGAGGGAGGAGCGGAGGGGTAGTTGAGCTGCGCGACGGCGGAAAGTTGAAGAAAACAGTTTGACGGATCTTTTGAAGAAGATAGAGATGGAGAAACCAAAAAGAAAAACGTCGAAGTCTATGTGACCTGGTCGCAGAAAGTTGAGAAGCAGGGGATGGACGGATGTTTCTATGAGAAGCGCAGCACGCAAGATTTGATATACAGCACGAGTAACAGCCTCAAGTAGTTGACAAATTATGGCAAAAATGTAGTGTCGGTTTAAACAGCGAGCCTTTTTCGATGGATCTAGTGCCATTGATGAGGTAAACATGCAAGGGGCAGAAAGCGGGAAATGATCACCTACTGTAACAAGTCAGGTACGTTGGTTTAGGTACCCCGAACTTACCGTGACGAGATAATGCTTATAGGTGCATGCCTTATTGGTTAGGTACCTTTTAGCGGTAACCCAGGCATGTTCGACCTGCCCCAGGCACAGTTCAGTAGCTTAAAATCACGCATCAGCGCAGGATTGCTAAGCACCAGAGATTCAAAGATCGAACTGCTCTCACCGTTGACCTTTGACCGTGGCGCAGAGGCTTACCGAGAGAACAGTCGTCTTTTTATTTACGCTGCTCTCACGACCCTCTTACATTGGTTGAGTCATAGTCACTCCCGTCTATATTTCACAAGTTGGTATCATTGAAAATAAAATGATAAAAACAGAAAATAAGGGATGAGGCTCACGTACCGGTTACCCGCGCTTGTTTGAATTTCTTCACTTCGACATTCGGAGCACTGGACAGGAATCGTATTGCGTCAACATCACTTTCTGGCCATCGCAATGCTATGTTTTAATTAGACAGTCAGATTCCCCCAACTCACCTCGTTGATTACCTATTGTTACAGCATCTCCTTCACAGCAAATCAATAACACAGGCATGTCAGTCTTCCAGAACTTTCAAACATTTTTCAAGAGTCTCACCAGTCCAAAACGTGTTCCTACGTTCGTGGTCACCCTTGATGCCCTGGGGACCTTATATCGTTTCAAGCAACCAGTGGCCCGGCAATATATCGACCTTGCTCGGAAATCGGGCTTGAAAGACAACGTCGACACTGACCGACTGAACGCTTCATTCAAAGAGGCATTCAAGCACTACAATGCCGCATACCCAAACTACGGAAAAGGGCAACTCGAAAGTCCGGAAGAGTGGTGGACCAAGGTGATTGATCGAGCTTTTGGACAAGTCGTCGACCAAAATGTTGAGCTGCCCAGGAACCTAGGGTCCCTGCTGTATCGTCATTTTGCCGGGAGAGACGCCTACGAACTTTACCCAGATGTATGGCCCTTCTTCCAAGCTCTTCGATCTCTCAAAAAGGATTTCAGCGACCCCGATGGCCCCCTCATCGCCACAGGCGTCGTCACCAATTCTGACCCTCGCGTTTCCACCGTTCTTCAGGAGCTCGGTTTGACAGTGCAGGCCAAACCTCCCGAGCGCCGTATCGGTGACGCACTCAGTAATGCGTGGACCGATGCCAAACTACAACGTCTAGACGGACTGTTTTCATACGAAGCTCTCGCTTATAGCCGCGACAATGATATAGACTTCCTTTCCACCAGCTACGAGACGGACTGCCAGAAGCCAGACCCGGACGCCTGGATCGAAGGCCAGAAGTTAGTCCACGTATTGCCTATTATCCGAAAGGCTGTGGCCCTTCGAGACTCTCCAAGTACGAATGTCTCTGAATACATGCAGAAAACCGCACAAAGTGCGGGCTACCGAGTTGGGGAGTTGCTGTGGCTTCATATTGGTGACGAGTACGAGAAGGACTATGCCGGAGCGACCGAAGCTTCACTGGACGCTTTGCTGCTTACGCGAGAGACTGATGGTGATATGCCGCACAAAATCAACACGTCGGCGGCGCCAGACATCCCGACCATTTCTTCGTTGAAAGAAGCTACTTTGATAATCAATCTCAAGGCGCGAGAACTTTTTCAACGTGGATCATGAACCAGTTCCTACCATTGTGGCAGTTGGTCTACTTTATCTTTCTATGACTCCCTTCCTATCACGACATCCTAACTGAAGGAAGGGGGTCGCAACCTCTATCTATCAGATCGCAGCCGCGGCAAAGAGTTCAGAAGCATCTGCAACTTGTCCGCTGTTCCCCAAGAGCTTCAGAGAGGCAATCATCTCTGCTGCTTTTTCCTTGCTCATAAACTTGGCCACTTCAAAGGGAAAGCGTGATTCCACTTCCTCGAAAGTCAGCCAGGGAACGTCAGGCAAATGCTGTTCTACAAGACGCCCATCCGCCAGCCTGACCTCAACTTTGGCGGGCTGTAGGCCTCTTTGGAAGTCTATATTGAATTGCTCGTTGGTCAATAGCTCGCATTTACTCATCAAATCCATGATGCGCGGGTCGTCGACCTTGGTGAAGACCTCTTCGTCGAGCCGACCGTAAACCAGTGCTGCAGATACGCCATACTGAATGCTCATCTTACTCTGTTGGATATTCTCCAGTTGCCCAGCATTGTTACACCCGGGGTACTTGATGGCTTGTGATGTGGCAACAATGGTGATCATTTGAACGGACTGAGGGTCATCCAGACGCAACCTCAGCGCCGCAGCCAGTGGAGTTTGGGCAAAGTTACACCCGGCGACAGGTTTGAAGTGAACATCCATGATGCCCTGGCCGATTTCAGAGCGGCTGATCCAATCTTTGAAGGTCACACTAGCGTCTGAAGAACCAACACCCAGCGCTTCAAAAAGGCCATCTTTTCCTTCCAGTACCGTATCACTGCAGAACATTCCGGTTTTGGCAAGGTCAAATGCCTGGATGCCCGCGCGACTTGCCGTGCCCATTTGAGTGAAGATCTCCAAACCTCCAGCCCAGGCCCATTCGTTCACACCACATGCTGCATTCAAAGCAAAACCCAATGCGCTGACAGCGATTTCCTCGCTGCAGCTCCCACCGGCGATTGCAGCGGCGGCGGCACCAAAAGCTCCCACCAGCCCGCTGGGGCGGAAGTGAGGGTTGAATTTGCCACTTGCGCGTATGGCGGTGCCCAGAAGAGCCGACATCTCATATCCTGCCACGATCGCTCTGATCAACTTCTCACCAGACCAGTGATGTCGCTGGGAAAGAGCGATGGCGGCAGAGAGGACGATGGAGCCGATGTGAGAACAAGAATCGAGATGCATGTCATCTCGGATAGTGCTGATCTCATTAGAACAAAAAGAAGAGCAACAGGAAATAGAATGAATGACCTACCTGTGACCCAGCGCGGCATTGACAAAGGCTGCCGTCTCAGCGGAGACTTTGGTCTTGGTCCCCCATACCTGAGCCTCCGGTGAACCAGATTGAGCGGTGGCATATTTAATCAACGCCTCGCCCCATGGGGTCGAAAGTCCTGAATGAGCTGCGGCAATGTAGTCAATCAGGCATACAACCACCTTTTGCCGTAACGTCGGAGAGATTTGCCCTTCCGCAATCGACTGTATGCGTCTCGCAGCCAGTCGAGTCAGACTGGTAGGCGGCACAGTGCCGTTCGATGCACCAGTGGAAGCCATGTTGATCCCTCTGTTTCACACAAAACAGTATCATGTATAGCTCGGCATGCACATGCAATGAGAGGTTTGAGCAGGAACAATGTTGGCTCGAACTACGAATCACCGCGAGGTTGCGATCAGAAAAAGATGGGCAAAACATCCCCAATTGGAGAAACTTCTCCAACACGAGGGGCGAAGTTGAATCTCACAGATATCAATTGACAGTCAATCTTGATATCAGAGTGCAAGAGATTGTTGGAAAAATAAATGTGATGGGCTATTGAGAAAGCATCTTACGAATGAATGTAAAAAGGTATATAGCAGCCTCGCACGAGAAGGAATCATCTTGTACGAAACAGGCTCAGCAATAGTCCAGCTATCTATCGACTTCTATCTTGCAGCCACGATGGTGTTGACAAAGAACAAAGTAGACCAAGGGCTTGATACATCCATGACATGGCCATACGTCTCCATTAATGGTGGTGACAAGAATCTGGTGCAGATGTACTTTTCCATACTTGGTCAGTACTTGAGAGCAACATTGCACTTTTCCATGTATCTGTATCTATCATGGCACCTTCGCAACCGTCTGAAGATCGTCCGTCGTCTCAGAGGACAGACCCTGCTACCATCATATCTCTTACGATCAGTTCGCGGGTGTATACGTCGTCTCCATGGACTCGGCATATATTGTCAAGCTGGCTCCTATCACATTCACAATGTCAAAGACGTGCGTCCCCTTGAAGATCTCCGCCCACATTCTAGCCACAGCCGTCGCAAGCCAGCGAATCCGTTGTTTCTGGTCCTGCCGATCTGCGAGGTTGCGCATCATGTCGCTGTCGAAGAGACCCGTCTCTGTCAACAGGCTCTGAATCATCTGAACCAAAACGACCTCCTCTTTGTCCAACGAGCCGTTGCCCGAAGCCACTCCGATGAGTTCGAGCCACTTGCTGAGGAAGATGGCACACTCCAGGTTGGAGAATGAATGTTGGACGCTCCAGGTGAAGGCCTGTGTCTTGGCCACATACTTGATACCCATTCTCACGGGGATGGAGAGGGCATGGGCGGCCTGAAGCACTGGGTGTATGAGTTCCGGCCCTCGCTTCAGGGGTGGACTGTTTTCGAACGCCGAGGCTATGACACTGGCGTCCCGACTCGCCAGGTTCCTGCACGGTCCCATGTCAGAATGGAGCCTGATCCAAGCCAACCTCAGCAGCGCCGTCGATGTAAAAGCGACAGGACCTGTCGCCGAGGAAGGTTCGAAGATGGACTCTGGAGAGCGCTCCCAGCGCGTTTGCCAACACCGCAAAGCCCGACTGATCTCACCAATGTCCTCGGAGCTCAGGGAGTGTTTGGAGCTCGCCAGTGTCTGACGCCGAAGATACAGGTGTTGAAGGATGGCCAAGATCAACACATAGTTTGCCATCGGTGATAAAGCGATGGGGGTCGGTGGTGAATCTACGCTGTGAAACATGCTTTCATAGGCTTCACGGAAGGGGACCTCCTTGAACGGGGACGACTTGTTGACTTCCTCCCACTCTTCTGCGCTACTCGCGTTCCACACTTTCGCCGAACAGGGCAGACAACAGTCGATTTCGGAGTTGAGTATCAGTGGAGGGATGTGATAGGCAACGGAGACCAGTTGCAGCAGGCAATATGTCATCAACTTGGTTCGCTTTCGACCTTCCTGGAGGACCCAACGATGCCATTCAGACATGCCTGTACAAGAAGACGTCGGTACTTTCAGCCGGGAGAACCCATCGTCACGCGCCAAGGTGGCAGCCACGCTCTGCAAAGCGATGGATTCCTTGACAAGCCCTGGTTGAGATCCCCAGGCACCGACACACATGAGGGCTATCAGCGCCTGCAAGGTCTGCGTTTGTGGATCGAAGACGTTGTCCATACTCTTGTCCGAGTTACCAACATAGCCACCACCGGATTCATCAGGCCGCTGAGTGTTGTTCTGGTCCAGAGATGTTGAGAGAGGGATTCGACTGTGGAAACTAGTGCTGTCGTCCCGTTTCACCTGCTCCTGAATTCTTATCTGTTCAAATGCTATTGCTTTTCCTGCGTGGAACAACATTGGACATCGGTGCGCCTCGAAACGAAACAAGGCTCCTATTGCACACATCGACAGTATCAGTTCTGGAGCAGCATGGACAGGTGAGAATGTCGGAACGTGAAGATTCGGAAGGTGCTCATAGTAACCTTTGATCGCACCCTCGAGGAACCTGGACATGGTGTGCCTGGAAGGCATGTTGAAATCTTTCGGCAAGACATGGTCAAACTTCTGGATGTTGGCAACAATTTGCCGATACTGGTGCCCTGATATCTTCCACACGGGTCGGAAATTGGCATTGGGTTCAGCTTGGCCAGACGGTCGAGATGCTTGTTCTCGAGTTTCAAAATGGAGCGCAGGTAGGGGTGAGCCAAATCTGGAAAAGGAGGTTTCTGGTTCGACTCGGCCGTTGTGGGCCCCTGAATCATGGCCGACGTGGACATTGTCATTGAAGGCAACTTGTGGAAGTTCTGAAGTGAAGGCAAGATCCTGCAATCCAAGATCCAAAGCATAGTCCGGCGGGATCAATCCGTTGAAATCGTTGAGATCAAGGAAGGTGTTGAAACTATCGAATTGGCTGTAGATGTCGGAGAAATCCAGCGTGGGACTGACGTTTTCTGAACTTGTTTCTACAGTTTGCGTGACGACGGGATTCTGCGACTCGGCGGAGGGGAAGGCGACACCCGCAAGGGCACTGAGCTGGCCACCGTCATTGAGGTTGGGCACGAAATGGTCCAGATTCGTCAGGGATTCGATGGAGAGCTGCTCCTGGACCTGACCGGATTCCACCTGACGGGCAACGGAGAGAGATGCAGTGGTATGCTCGATCGTTGGCTGATGTGCCGTCGCGGGGGAGGTCACATTCATGCCATCCACGGCCGGCACGGTATTGCTTGGGGTCGACGTCGCCAGTGTTGGCGACACATAGCGACCGCAAGATCTGCCCTCGTGGGCTGCCTTTTCGTGTCGCCGCAAGAGATCCCTAGTTGAAGTCAAGGTCAGTCACCACTCACGTCCAAGAGGTTGTTGCTCCGGGACATGCACTACCTTCGGCTGAAGGACCTGCCACACGGACATTTGAACGGCGTTTCTTTAGTGTGAGTCCGTTCATGACGCTGTACGTGTTCAAGGCGACGAAAGCGCCTATTGCAGAACCTGCACGGCAGAGTCTTCTTCGGGCTCGAAGCTGCTGACTCCATGATACAACCGAGTCGCTACTCCGTACGGATGGGGAAGAATGAGAGGAAGATTCTCCACATCAATGTGCCTGTGGAGAGGAGGCCATGCGCGAGTATATGAATGCTCCCTCGATTTGGAGACGAAGCCTCCATCAGCCGAGGTCGAGTACATTCCCGTGTTTGCCACCCCAGACGTTGTGGGAAACACTTCCAGCAGGTCTAGACTTTCGCTGCATCGTGGAGACCCCTGAGACAGCCACATGGAGAGGTGGAGCTACCAGCAAAACTTCTTTGCGTCGTTCAGAACTGGATACTACACTACGCCGGAGGACATGGTTTGCCAAATGAGAAATGACTGTGTCAACACAAAAATACTTGTCTTATTGGGGTCGGCCGAGCAGTGCCAATCGTCGAGATCTCGAGTCGACGATCAAACAAACAATCCTGGCGGTCCAGCATCTCACTATCACTTTCCATCTGCAAACCCTTTCCCCACGATACAATTGTTTCGGAAGAGAGAACCTATTTGTTTCGGCACCATGCGCTACTCTCAATATGTATATCGGAAATCAGGGGTCCCTTCAATGATCAACTCCTCTCTGTCTGCTTTCTTGTTTGCTATCGCAAAGTAGAAGAAGTTTTTGACCACCAGTAGGATATTGAAAGCCTGTCAAAAGCGTTGAGTTGATGGTTGCGCGTGCTGCAGTATTTTGAGTACTCACCTGGAATGCGATACAGATGATCAGAGCAGTTCTGTAGGCTGGAGCATCTTTGGCTTGAAATATGTTGCCTGCAATGATGCCTCCTATGCCACCACCGGTGGTCATCATGGCAGCACACAGAGCACGCTTTGCTTGACCGACTAGACTAGAAGTCAGAAGTTTGAATTTACAAGACCGATTAATCGACAAACTCACCAACATTGTTGTGCGCGTACGCCCAATTAGTTGGGATCTAGGGAGAGTCAGCAGGCATTTACCCACGGTGTAGGCTACGCCATGGTTGTACAGTGCGCCTGGCGGTTTGAGAGTATCTTACGTTGCCAGTGATGCCCATGACGCCGATAAAGACACCTCCGTATCGTGCATGAGGATTCGCACAAAATGCAGTACTGTTTTGTCGTCAGTTTGGGCACTCTTTGCGGCAGGCAAGATCACTTACATGCACACTCCAATCATGTACAACGAACTGTTGAAGACCAGCATCGGACCTCTCACTTTCAGTCTGTCGCAGATCCAGGCGCAAAAGAGAATCCACTGTATCGGTCAGTCAGTTTTGTACCTAGAGGACATCTCATCGGACGGTTCGACATACCGGGACTGCTACAGCATACGGGGGAAACGTGAAGAGTTGAGCTTTGGAGGTCGAATAATGAAGACTCTTTTGTAAGATGACCGGTAGGAAATATGCAAAAGCATATAGAGCCGTGTTCTTGGTAAGATGTCAGTTAGGTGCTCCTGTTTCAGCGTCCACTTGACAACAACAACAACAACTATAAGTAACTCACATTGAACATGACATAGGATGAGAATTCCCAGATTTTCCAATCCTTGGCACAAACGAGCATCTTCTTGACCGTCAATTTTTCGGGTACACTATCACCCCTGTCTCGCTCGATCCGTGCATGAATGAGTGTTGCTTCTTCGGCCGTGAGGAAAGGAGGTAAAAGACCGAAGAGACCTCTCAAGGTGGCTAACAGGGAAAGGAGTCAGACGAATCCGTGGATCATTTCTTCGAGGTATCCAAAAGCTACTCACCTCTTTCTGGAAGATCAACCAATGTGACATATGCGGCCAAACCACAGAAACATGTGACGATCCCTTCCTGTCAGAGGGGTCAGCTCACTCTTGCAATGAATGGAAGTGTCATGGAACGCCTCACGATGATAAAGATCCACCGCCATCCTGCCAGACCGGCATCACCGTCCATGTTCTCTATCCCATATGCGAGGAGACCCGAAACTCCCGTCGAAGCGATACCCTTGACATGTTATACGATACTTTCAACGACTCAGGTCTGCAAGTACTCACCACCACGTAGAAAAGGGCGAGTCTATTGAGCGTGAGCGAATGGTATCGACCAACGGTATATGACCGCAACGACACTTACCTGGTATGTGCTTCATATCTAGTGTACCACACACTGATAACTAGGAGAATCTTTAGTGATGGACGGGTCGAGAGGCGCGTCGAGACTCACGGAACATTGCCGCAGGAATGAGACCCCCTTCGAGGAATCCAAGAAGAACACGACAGGCTACATGATACGTCAGCATGGTCTCGGATGTTGTTACTTCGACAACATACCCAGCAAGGCACCCCAGGAGTGGCAGAAGCCTTGACCGATGGTGATGACACTGTTCAATGTGAGTCTGCTGTATGCGAGCCATAGTCGATCAACCCATACCCCCATAATCTTTTTCTTATGGTTAGCAGGTATTTTCACAGGAGAAATTCTCTTCATCTTCTTACACGACAATTGTTGGCAGCCAGACAATGGCCCCGACCTTTCGTACGATAAAAGTAGCGGGCGCATCGATCAGGATATAACCGACGAAGAACTAGAGAGAAGGTTAGGATGCTTTGCACTTTTCGGTCAAGGATAGAAAACTCGCTTACTATCATGGTAAGGATAGAATATCGGTTGTTGCCAGTGAGTCCGAGATCGGTGGCCATACCCGCGATGTTGGCCTGGGTTAAAAAGGCACGGATTAGCAGGACGTTCGACCAATGTCATGTGTTGAGATCCTTACATTCGCCAGGTTGCCTCGATCGATAAAAGCCCAAACGTAAAGGACGGCCATGGTCAGGACGAGGCGGAAATCGAGTTTACGCACGATGCGCTTGATCTTCTTCTCCTCTCCCTCGAGTTGACTAGCGAGTACCTCTTGTTCATGTTGACGATCGACCGCGAGGTTGTGAATTTCATTCTTCGTCTCGACGTGCTCTGCGTCGACGCCACCCATTGTGTCGAGTTGGTGGGTTCTGGATTTCAATGAATTCTGGGGGAACAATGAATCAGACTAGATGCGAGGCAATTTCAACAACCCTTCAGAGAAGACAAGATCAGCAGTCGGGTACTTATGCAACGGCGAACGGTCGAGAACCTTTTTACACCCTTTCAAATGAGTTGCTAATAAGCGAATGACACTCCGCATGGGTGGTTTTTACTAGCGGTCTCCACGTTTTTTGGTGTCTTTTGTTGGAGTCCGGGGGAATGAAATACAGTTGAGTCCTCCGTATCCCTACCTAGGTAGAGTGTGTGTTCTGGCGTCACAGAGTAGGGTGAGGCTCATTCCACTCACTCCACGCCAATCTCGACCGGGGTTTGGGTAGTTGTAGTAGTGTAGTGGTGTACTCCGAAGTGTCTGTCCATATCGAACTGCTCCACCTCCAGCAACTCGTAGTCGTCGTCGATTGCGAGCCGAACAATTCCTTCTCCAACGCTGAGCGGGATCCATTTCTCCACGAAGAAAAGAGACACACTCTCTCTCACTCACCCAAAGATCATCCACCAACTCGAGTGGAAATCCCCGCAAAGGATTTGGGAAGTTGAAGCAAGGTAGTAATAATAATAATGATAATAATAAGAGTGTCTGAACCTGCAACTGCTGTATTTTCACTTACTATTTTTATACCAATCACGTTTTAGAACAGTCTCTCGAGGCCGGTGTTTTTTTGATCTATCCCGACGACAGATAAAGACACGCCACATTTGTCGAGCCTGCTACCGTACGGAGTGACCAAAATGCGAGTCACTGTTCAAAAAGCCGAAGATCTGGCCAACAAGGCCTTGACGAAATTGGGATATTCACCAGAAGATACGGCGACGATATCTCATCATCTCATCGACAGTGAACTTCGAGGGTATGGGATCGCAGGGTTGGCTAGGATCCTCAGCATCGCCGACAGGTTCGCCGGTCTGCAACAAAACCAACCACCGTCGTCCATCGAGGTCACCACGGAATCACCCACTTCGGCTCAACTGGACGGTCACGACACTCTGGGGTATTTGGTCGCGCACAAAGCCACCAAACTCGCCATCCAAAAAGCCAAGGGGTCTGGAGTGTCCGCCGTCGGGGCCAATGGCACCTACTACACCGGGATGTTGTCCTACTATGCTGAAATGGCCGCCGCCGAAGACTTGGTCACCATCATCGCCTCCAACTGTACACCTTGGGTGGCACCGGAAGGAACCTTCAAACCGTTGGTCGGTACGAACCCATTCTGCATAGGGGTGCCTACGGACACCAAAGTGCCAATCATCTACGACATTGGTACATCCAAAATCATTCACGCTCAGGCGATGCTGGCAAGACGTAAGGGTGAACAATTACCTCCAGACACGGCCTACGACGAAGATGGGGAAATGACCACGGACCCTGATAAAGCTCTAAAGGGAGCTTTGAAGGTATGGGGTGGCGCAAAGGGAAGTGGACTGGCCATTGCGGTTCAACTTTTGGGCATATTGGCCGGCTCACCTGCTCTGCCTCAAGACTTGCAGGATTTTGGTTATTTCATCATGGCTATAGACCCGTCGAAATTCAGACCGATGGGTGATTTCAAGAGGGAAGTCGGTAAACTCATCGAGGCTTTTCATACCGCTCCCTCCCTTTCGGGAGCCGCTTTGAGGATGCCTTTTGAAAGGTCGAACCGAAGAAGGGCGGAAATCAAAGCAGGTGGCGTTTTGGACGTCGACGATGTGGTCGTGGAGAGATTGGAAAAGTTGATCCAAGGTTGATGAATCGAGGGGGTGGACCTACATCTTGTAGGATTGATTGCTGGTTAATCGAGGAGGATTTCAGACCACCGTACGAGTTTCCCCCAAGTCTAGCTAGGTAGGCATCAATCTGGTACCGCTTCTCTCTCACAGACAATCCTAGGATTACCTTCACCCAGATTCTAGATCCCTTAGTCCGGTAGTGTCCATTCAGTGTTGTTTGTAAACTTGATGATGATGATACTCCCTTTTCTCCAACCAAGCCTCGTAGGTTGCTCAGCCAATACATACTCTGCTTGACTCCACTTGCTTTGCTTACCAAAAGTTACTCCAAAATGGTGTAGAGAGCAACTCCTTCAGCAATTAATTCTTTATCAATTTTTGTTCATTGCCAACCAAAAGAGACAGTCTCGTCACAATACTGTTAGTACTTGTAACAAACATGTCGTTGCCCGCGGTGACATCTCGATGGGTCATCAAGCCGACCAAAAGTACGAGTACGGGTACGAGTGGCTTTGACGGGTTGGAATATCAAGATTCGGTACCGATACCTCCACTCGGAAACCATGACTGTCTCGTTCGATTCGAAGCGGCATCATTAAACTACCGAGACGTTGCCATCTTGAAAGGCAACTACCCCTGGACGGTGAACGAAGATGTTGTACCGGTATCGGACGGGGCTGGAGTGGTCATCGCCGTCGGTCCCGAGGTCGACGAATTTCGAGTCGGTGACAAAGTGACTACATTGTTCCACCAAGGTTGGCAGTCAGGACTACTCACACCGACAAAAAGAGTGACGACCTTGGGGACGTACCTGGATGGTGTGCTCCGTCAGTACGCTGTTTTTCCAGAACGAGGGCTGGTGCCCATCCCGAAACACCTCACGACGATCGAAGCGTCCACATTACCATGTGCCGCTGTCACCGCTTGGAACGCCCTTTACGGTTTACCGTCCAGATCATTACAAAAAGGTCAGTCTGTATTGGTACAAGGTACTGGAGGAGTGAGTTTGTTTGCCATGCAATTTGCCCTCGCGGCCGGAGCTACCGTCGTCGCCACTACGTCGTCGACCGCAAAGGCCGAAAAACTGAAAGCGATGGGAGCCACACACGTCATCAATTACAAGGAAAATCCTCGCTGGGGGGAACTCGCCAAAACCTTGAGTCCCGACGGTGAAGGTGTTCATCATATCATAGAAGTCGGTGGGAGTTCCTCGATGGAACAATCCCTCAAAGCCGTACGGATAGAAGGACTTATCTCGCTGATTGGCTTTTTGGGTGGCAAGGACGCTGCATCTTCGTGTTCGTTTGGTGACTGTTTGGCGACCTTGTCCATCATTCGAGGAGTCAATGTGGGATCAAAACAACAGTTTTTGGCAATGAATGAGTTCATGACTGCTCACGACATTCGTCCCGTCATCGACGATGAAACGTTCGGTTTTGACGAGGCAAAAAGGGCATACGAGTTTCTGTGGGACCAAAAACAATGGGGGAAAGTTGTCATTCGAATTGGGGAGTGATGACAACCTGGATCCCAAGAGAGAGACTAGTGAGTAGTAATCGTTGTGTGAGGTCTATGTTATGTAAAGTACCGAGTAGATGGTATCGAAAGTAGATGACGCTCTCAATCTGTTCTCGATTACTCAATCAATCTTTGTATTTCCCAAATCTTTGCCTTCGTTCTCGGAAAAGAGTCTGTAGATACTTCGACATTCCTTGTCCGCACATCTCGGGTGCTTGACGGCTCTGGCGTAGACGTCCGTCACGACGTTACCCATGACGTGCTTCGCACCCACATCGTCCATCAATTGTACCGTCATGTCCATGACACCCTTTGCCAATTCGGTCTTGAAACCTCCTTCAAAGTCTTTGGAGGATGACGAGTTCGGTTGTACCCCTTTCACCGGATTCATGTGTAACGAATTCCAACACATGCCACTGGAGACGTTGATGACATCTTTATGAGCCTGATTAGCTTTTGGAGAGTTGCAATCGTAACGTGCAAGACAACAAGACAGCGACGGCGGCAGAGATGTGCCGTGGGTGGAGAAGGGAAGTCATGGGGATGAGTTGGACTAGCCTCACCTGTAAGAACCTTTGGGTCAAGACCGTACTTTATGCCCGTATTCATTCCTAGACATGTATTAGTCCCATGATAGACCAATGAGAGCGTGCTCCAAAGAGTGGTCTCATACCTTCACACAGTGCAATATAAGAAACATTGGCGATATAATTGTTGATTTGTTTCGTTGCCAATCCTGCTCCAGGAGGACCACAGAAGATGATGTTCTCTGACTTTCCCATGGTCGCCAGTACTGGTTTCGCCTTGTCGAGTAACTCTTGAGTACCACCGACCATGAATGTCAGATTTCCTTGATCCGCAGCAGGTATACCGCCAGAAACGGGACAGTCGATGAAATCACCCAACCCAGACTTTTGAACATGTTCAAGAACTTCATTTGATGTTCGTACTTCGATTGTTGATGTTTCCAAAAAGAATTTTCGGTTACCGGTACCGGACTGAGAATGTTGAGAAATCGATAGCAACCCCGTTTTAGGGTCTATAAACACCTTTTTCACCGCATCACCATGTGGTAAACTTGTGATGATTATGTCCTGATATCCCCAAAATCAAACAGGGTCAGCATCTCTGTTCTGATATCGTCGGATAAAAGGCAACAAAACAACATACACATTTCTCTGCTATTTCTTTTGGAGATTCTGCAGTTTCGATTGGACCTCCTCCTCCTCCTTCTTTACCAAAGGCAGACACGAATTGATTTCTTCGTTCGGTATTCAATTCACAAACCAAAAGTTTGCAATTCTTCGGCATTGACAGTCTCAAATTCTTGGCCATGCCGTATCCCATGTTTCCTAAACCGATGAAACCATAGACGACATTTGGCATTGTCGTGCCATTTTGAAGTGACTCGGGCATTTTCTTTTCTGGTTATCGTTCGATCCTGGTATTGAACAAAGCGGGATACGGAGCGATGATTGTCTTGACAATGATTTGTGTTTCTTTTCAGCCAAATATCAATTCAAGAGCCTCGTGTGAACTCAATCGGAACAAACGCTAGAGTTGTCTCCTCGTACTCCGTAGTGTGAGGTTCATCTTCTCCAAACTCCACATGATATTTACTTTGTGGAGATAGAGACTTATACTCATGTGTCTATGAGGAGGCGGATATACGGCAAGGGTTGTTGGAGAATCTCCACAAACGACAGACGACAAGTCATATGGAGGAGTACCAATGTACATCTGGATATGCTCATATTGTAGGTTGAATTATTGCTAGACATACTCTATACTCGATAAAATTGGGATGAGTACTTCACAGTACCTAATCTAATACATCCATCTAGGGAAGAATCGATCTTGATTATCTGTTGCCCAACCCAAATCATGAGCAACAACCCACTCGACCTTGTCATTGCCATTGATTTCCAAAAATCTTTTGATTGTCTCGATGGTTTTCTGGGCTTTTGGTAAATCGGAATGAACGCTTCTCATCCCACCATGACCATCATCGTAAGTGGCGATACCTTTTTCTCCTGTCAGTATTCTTGGGTCATGACAACAGTCGCCACCCAGATAGACCCATTTCCCGGGGTCGACTCGCATCAGCGCGTTGATATGTCCCCGAAGGTGCCCGGGGCTGTCAACCAAGTAGAAACTGCCATCACCAAAGAAATCAATTGCGTTTGGTAATGTCGAGATTTCTTGCCATTCGTGTTGGGTCTGCTGAGGAGGACTAGAGGCCGACATCTGATTTTTGTTGTTTCCCGGAGTTGTTGGTGGAAGTTCAAAAGTTCTCTCGATGGGTAAAGGATCAATTTCCATCATATCCTTTGAATAATGAGGTGCCCCATGTTCAAGAATATACATTGTCCCTGGCCCGACAATGAATCTGGACTTGGGATAGTCCAATGGCGTTCCTATATGATCCCAGTGAACATGACTATCAGAGCAGTTAGTTTATAGCTTTGTAATCTGTCTTGCTTCGGCGGAATGGGGGGAGGGAGAATAGGATAGCGACGAGTGTATATCTTTGGTAAAGATACGGAGTAGTTACCTTAGTATAACATAGTCAATGTCTTTGGAAGGGTCGAGACCTCCTCTGACCAAACTATCCTTTGTATCCGGCGAAGTAATGATAGGTTGTCTCTTGTTGATGTGTGATCGCATCCCTTCAACGTAAGAGTCAAGATCCCGTTTTATTCCCAGGTCAAACACAACTCTTTCGACTTTGTTCGTCCCAGACACTAGATGTTCGATTAAAAAACACAGAGATGGTACTGTAGATTCTTTGTCGGGGTCGGCGTCGGTGACAAAAAGCCTTTCAGGCAACGTCACAAATCCGCCATTCAACGCTGCAACGCGTACATAGACCTGTCCATCTGATTTGGGGCCTGGAAGGAGACGTTGGCCCGGAAGGTTATTTGAAATGTGTGTTTCAGACATCTTTGCTATTGCTTGAGTGGTTGAATTTGTCAGGCACTGCTCTCGATCAGGCTTGTTGGAATCTCCCATCTAAGACTATATGATGAAGAGTCGAACTGACTATTGGAGTCATTGCCCTATCACTTAGCCCTTGAGTCTCTGAGCAAACATGTTTACCTACATTTACGATGTAGGGGGCCCATTGGAGATGAGCCGTGGAGATATCAAGATTCAACGTGTGGAGAGAGGATCGTGGAAGGCTCCCTAGGGGTTTGGGATCCATTGACAGAAAAACATGATTACCACTTGATGAAGAAGGTCGTAGTAAGTCCATAGCGGGCATCTTGATTTAATGACTGTAGGCATGCTCGTAACGTAATCTATCGCTGCGGCGTCTACAACTTCGCTTTCCCTGAACGACACTCTCTCGCCGCTTCCTCGCCTGCTATCTTTGCCAGCACAGACGATCGAATCAATGAGGCTCCAGCAGCGTAACCAAAGTAAAACCCTCCAGTGATCTCCCCTACAGCGTACAACCCACTCATCACTCGTTCTTCGTTGGTCAATACTCTCGCCTTTTGGTCGGTCTTGATGCCCCCGAACGTAAAAGTGATACCAGTGGTCACGGCATAAGCCACGAAAGGTGGTTCATCCAAAGGTTGTGCCCAGTTGGACTTTGGTGGAGACAACGAAGGATTTGTCCCCAATCCATCATTCTTGAACGGGTCAAAGGTTTTTGTGTTTTTTGCTGTTGCTGCGTTGTATCCGTCAACCGTCGCACGTAGTGCTCTTGGGTTTAGATCCAACTTAGAAGCCAAACCCTCAATAGAATCAGCCTCGATCGCTGCGGCGTGAGTCTTGTACCTCGGTTCAAGAAGATGTAAAACCTTTTGGTCAAATATTTGAAACGCCTTGCCGTCCGGTTGTCTCGCGATCGCAGCTCCCATCTTCGAGTATGTCAGGCTGGGTTCATCCTCTCCCTCGTCGACAAATCTCTGCCCCAACTTGTTCACCATGATGCAATACGGGAAAGAGTATCTCTCCCAGGCGTCGAGCACGTCAAAGTTGCCCACTTTTGGAGTGTTTATGTCCAGCGGAGCACAATGATAACCTCCCCAGTGACCTTGAGCTTGTGCTCCCGCGGCGATGGCACGTTCTAGCATGACACCGGTGTTGAATCGAGTGCCGCGAACCACCGACAGGTCCATCCCTTCACCGAGATATTGTCGACGCATTCGAGGGTTGGCTTCGAATCCTCCGCAAGCCAAAATCACTCTCCCGTAAAACTTGGCGATACCATTCGATTGTCGTACTTGGACACCCACAACTTTGTCTCCCTGAGTGATCAATTCATGAGCAGGTGAGTCGTAGTACACCCGAATTGCCGCTACCTGTTCGACTGCCGACCACATTGCATCTGTCAACCCTCGACCATTGTCTCTGTTGATCACAGGTACACCAGGGTTGAGGTTGACAACCCCAGGGCCCTTGGTGGTATCTCTCTTGACAAACATGTTGAGTGGTAGGATGAAGGGTACTCCGTGATCTGCCATCCATTTGACAGTGTCGTAGCCGTGTTTGACTATGGTGTCGATTTCATCCTGATCGTGTCTTCCACCAGACTTTTTCATCATATCTTCCGAGAAATGTTCGGCTGTATACGGTCCTATGTCACAGAGATCCCAATCTTCTCGCAAAGAACGCTCGGATATTAACGGTTTCAAATGCTCTTTACCGTCGTGAGGAAATCGCCATGCCGTACCAGCGAACCGACTGTTGCCTCCTCGTTGGTGTTTGGGAGCAGCTTCCAGCATGACCACTCGAGCTCCGGCTTCATACGCTGCTAGAGCCGCACAACATGCGGTGTTGCCTCCACCGACCACGACGACGTCAGTGTGGTACTCCATCGTTTGACGTTGAACACTTTGTATCTGTATACTTTCGTCAGCGTCAGTGCGGCTTGATCCTTCGCTGACCATTGCTTAACAAGTATATATGTATGGGCATGCTTACGTCGATATACGCATCAAATGGTCTGGAGTACGGACTGTGTGGAGTTGGAGAGCAGAAGATGGCAAAAGTACACCGGTGAAGTGACTCCACAAATTCGATCATCAATGAGCTGTGGAGGGAATCTGTAGACTCTGCGCGTAATTCCCATACAATAAAAGTGATTATTCTTTGACCGAAGTACCGAGTAACCGACACGCCGATGAAAGGGTCTTTGTTGAGATTCTTGAATTCATTTTCGACCATGGTCATTTTGCCGGTGCACTCGAACAAATCAATCTTAGCAACTTTCTCCAACACCCTTGTCTAGATATAATCATATATCAACCTCATCACTGCTTATCAGCTACTATCTGCCTTATATTGGTCCTCCAATCCTCGTTATACGGCTTTGCCATTTCTTGCACCTGCTTCAGAGTCAACTTGCTTGGATCATTCATCATCCGGAAAAACCAGTCGTCCTGGGCTGCCGTGTCTGCATCGTTCGAATGCACTCGCAATTTATTCTGTGTCGAAGTAGGATCAACAAAGAACTGAAACACTTTCCTTCGTTCGTCCGAATATATGTCGAGTACCGTGGTCGGATGATTCTCCTTCAACACCATAATGAGAGCTTCGGCCAAAGCATCCGCGTCGAGCATACCCGTGTTGAGCCCCAATGCACCGTAAGGCTGCGAGACGTACATCAGCTCATCGTAATCTCAGAAAATGGGAAAGTTAACTTTACATTGTTGGCATGAGCTGCATCACCAGCCAATAAGCAATTGCCTCGTCTCATTGTCGGAGCCAACCTTTGATGGATCCGATACGACGCCCTTTGTTGGATCTGGACCTGTAAGGGTCGTGGTCCCGGCATGACATTCTCATAGTGCCTCATTATGTTTTCGTCGGTCAGGAGATCCTCATCGGGTCGATCATCCTCGGGGTCTGCCGCAATGGTGTAACGCCACAAGGTCGTCTTGCCGACGACAGGATCTTGCAGGGGCGTGGAGATGGTGTAATGAACGCGGTCCAAAACGTAGAACGTCTGCCAGGCGGGGTTATATTCGTTCTTGATCAGTACGTTGGTGGATATCAGTCGTTCTGGCCACGTGTGACCGGGGAACGGAAGACCAAGAGCTTTCCTGGTGCTCGAGCGAGCTCCATCTGCACCGACGAGATAGGTGGCTCGCATCTCGCGTTCGGCCTGACGTTGATTGTTTCGCACGACTACACGCACGCCATTCTCGATATTTTCGGTGATCGAAACCAGCTCGGTGCTGAATTCGATATCCACATGGCCGGTTTTGATGGCTTCTCGAAGGAACAACTTGTTCAGATCTGCTTGGGGCAGATTCAAAAGGCCCGCACCGACCTTGAACTCGGTATCGTCGGGACTGGTAAGAGGCTGGATGGCTAGCATCTCCCCGGGCGCTTTCCCTCCTTTACCGTCGTCCGTGGGTTTCTTCCGCCAGCAAAGTCCATGGGTCATGAACCCTTCTTTC